ATTCGTCCCCATTTAGAATACGGAAACATAGTACTTCCTCCTTCACTCCAAAATGATAAGGACATTCTGGGGCGTATTCACCGGCGAGCCACGAAATCAGTTCGGGGACTAAAATTCAAACCTTGCGAAGAGCACCTCCAATCACTTAACCTTCACTCATTAGAGTATAGGCGTCTTAGAGGTGACCCAATAGCTTAAAGTATCCTTAACACTTCTGGACATCACGTTAAACACCCACTTGAGTTTAGCTTCAACACAAACCTAAGGGGTAGCTTTCAGAAACTAGAGATACAACACAGCAGAACAGACTGTAGACACATCTTCCACTCCTCAAGAGTTGTCAAATGCTGGAATTCGCTGCTGGCTTAGCTAGTCCCAATGACTTCCTAGAAGTCGTTTTTAAGGCAACTTGACTTTTTCTTAAGGACTTAGGATAATGTCTTACTATGATTCCCCACTCCTTTCTTCTCCATTGTCGTTAATATACCTAGGTTCTTTCCTGGAGGTATTGGTGATCCACAGCGAATGTAGTGAAGGAGAACACAGGTGAGGACAACCGAATTGTATTTAGCACAAAATTACAAAGTTACTTGTAAAATAGAAAAACCATGTAGTAAATCGTTAATTTGCAAAATATCAATGCATCATATCAACCTGGACTGTTTCTGTTGCAAACATCAACCCACTGTCCCACATTTGATTGTTCATGCGTTTTCTTACAAATTGCATTGTGTTGTCGCTCTTCCTTTCTTGATCTTCCCCCATCTTCTGCTGCCAAACATTGCGTTTTCAACGCGCGTCATATACTACTTACATCGATATAATTAGCACGCACCACAATATAATTTAAACTGTTTAATTTAGTGATCTTCCTTGTAAATTCATAAAATTGATACAACTGGCTTGAATAGTTACCAACAATAGTTAAACATGTATTTTTTATATTTAAGTAACACCATTTAAGAATATCATTTTAGTTATTATTATTTGAGACATATTTGTTGGATGTATTTCCATCTCAGAGTTGATATTCACTCTGACACTCGAATCTAGTACCATGCACCACACTACTAGGCACGGAAGCCCGTTAAGCGAAACCTCCTATATTCAGTCCACAACCATTTGAACGTGTACTTGAAGTGAAGACAATACCAGCACTCGAGTAAGAATTCACGTGTCTCTAGAAGACAGAATAAAAAGGAAGGTGAGATTTAGCGAAATAGAAGCGTGTCGACAAAATGGAAAAAACCTTCGCTTAGAGGGTATTCGAGTCGACTAGTCTCGGGAGCGAATTCCATGAAGAGTCGCATAGATATGTTATTCTGTTTAGGAGTTATATATACGAATACTCGTAGTCAATGAAATAAATCACATGAACTAGGAATATTGGTCAATACTCCCGAGACCTTGTGAGTATAACGAGAGATTCTTAAAACAATTTATACGCGCGCTACACGAAAGCTCATAGTCTTGGAAATAGAACCTCTGAGCTGTGCTTGATGTTTAATTAATTAAGTCCTGATATAATTGTTGTCACAGATACGTACCTAACGTTAGATGCAGACTGTTCTCCAACCACTGTAGGATAAATCTGTATTAGAAGCGATAAAACTACAACTCATAAGGGTGGTCACTTTCTTCCTGTTTTAAGAAGGCACGCTTCAATAGTCAGTGTCGAAATAATCTGGCCGTAAAACTTTAGTTGGTAGAAGAAATAAATGGGGCATTTCTGTCATCGTAGTTAAGATGTGGAGTTTAATTAACTTTTATCAATTCAATAAACTTGGGAACTATGTTTTTGACGTTATTAATTTGATCTCGATTTTTGAGATTTCCGGGAAACGGAAATAGGTTGAGACATTTTAGTCGGAACTTCCTTTCACTATTGTGGCTCTCGCAGTTTTATCGTTTTAAGCACATTTGCTTCATGTTCGAAAAAACCGTAGATCACAAACGTGGATGATCTGCGTCGAACGTTTGGGGGCCACTGAATTAAGATGAGAATGGTACGAAAGAACTAGCTGACTTCGAAGTCAGCATCTTACGTGGATTACCCTTTCGTCCCATTAAGGTACCATGGCCGCTTTGAAGACCGTGTGACTCAGAGGACGTTATTACAGACATATGTTAATAAGAGTAGGTATTAGGAACTTGATAAATATCGATAAACTGTTCGACATTTACTGACTCGACTGCCGAATGATTTGGCTACGGCCCAGTGACACTTTACTGGCTCCACAAAATGAATATGCCCCTGAAACCTATATTTTAAATGCAACTTCAAACATGTTGGGTACAATTCTTTATTCAAATTACCAAGACCAGCAAGGCTTTGTCAGTGGCCATTTTACACTTACCAGTAATTGTATTGTCCTCAATATGACGTCGAAATCTTTATGATTAATAACTTTATGCAAACATTCCTAGTGAAGATGCTACAGGCATTGGAGTTTGACAATGCTTTAACCAGTAACACTTAATATGAAGCGTACCCACCAAGTGAGATCAAAAGACAGAAGCGAGGAGGTTCGGATATATATTTGATATTGAGCACGGCGTCCCCACTCGTGATCTAGTGCAGACGCACGACCGAGTAGCTTCAGCCAAGTGAGTCCATTAATACTGATGTGTTCAGCACTCAATATCGAAGACTTACAGAGCTACTGATTTCGAAGGGCTTTATTTACCGCTACATATCACTCCCCTCCATGGTGGGGTAGTGATCACCCTAAGACGTGGCCAGCCAGAAGTTTAAACCCAACGAGTTTGTCGTTAGTAAACACTGTTCTGATAGCTTGGTATGCTTAGCAGCGTCTGGTCGTCTTTCCTTACTATAACGGACCATATAATGCAATATGATAATAAAGAAACAAAGTACAGTAAAAATTTCGGTTCCTAGGAAACTTCATCGTTTGTTTTATCGTCTTTTCCAGCTGTCTTAGAAAAGAAAAAGAGAAGATGTAAGTGCATGTCGAAATACACTCGTACACGCGTAAAGACACAAAGCAGGCGAAAAAGGTAAATAAACTCATACACATGCGATAGCGCAAAAGCGATTTTAAACGAATTTTTTGGATTTTTTAAGGAAAAAATTAAGTATACACATATTAGCAAGAGGAGTCTTGTTTCCTTTGGAATAAATATATAAGTGTAAGCATATACAATTTTTTATTATGTGTGATACAAAGTAAAATCGAGATGAAGCAAACTGTTAACTAGTGTCTTACGTGCAATAGTCGTTTAACTGTTCCGAAAATCTTACTCTCCCTCTAGAACGCGTTGGCTTTAGTTTATTTTCTGAAACTGTCAAAGTATTTTCGTGAGTGTTGACTGTCGGATGAGGTATTATAAGTGTAAGATCCGCGTCGTTCGATTGTATCGAAGGAAAATCGATGTGGATCAGATTTCCTTCTAAATACGCTGCTTTGAGGCGATCGATGCTAATGTTATCGTTGGTTCCGTTCTTATCGATTATATAGTACTTCGGTTCGCGTTGAAGAACTTTGAAAGGTCCTTTTTATGCTTATTCGAGAGGTCGTCGATGCGAGTCTCGACGTACGAAGACGTGTGTACTATATCACAAGTCGGGTTGCACGAAAACATCGGTTGATTGTGGTCGAATGGAAGCAGGTTTAACTAAACGCATTGCGTTTGTAAGCCTGTTCGTGTAGGAGGTTAGATCCATGTTCATAGAAGATGAAGGATCCACAAATTCTCCTGGAAGTCGAAGTGTCGTTTCATAAACGAGTTGAGCCGCAGTGCATCCAATGTCAGCTTTCACTGCATTGCGAATACCTAGTAAGACGAGTGGAAGAACGTCCGTCCATTGTGAAACGTTTGCAGCTGATAGTGAAGTCTTTAACTGTCGGTGAGAGCGTTCTACCAACCCGTTTGCTTGTGGGTGATAGGCAGTCGTTCGGAAGCAAGTGATTCCTAATAGTGTGGTTAGACAACGGGAAAGTCCACATTCGAACTGGCGTCCGCGATTTGTAGTGACGGTTGAAGGTCAGCCAAAGCTTGCTACCCATCGTTCGATGAAGGCGCGGGTCACTGTTTCGGCAGTATTGTCATTGATAACTATTGCTTCTGGCCACACAGGGTAAAAGATAAGAGTATCCATTTAAATCTGGTAAATGTCCTACCAAATCCAGATGAACACGGTAAAAACGAGCATCGGGAGTTTTAAGTGAACATAAGGGATATTTGTTGTTATTCAGATTATCAAGACCAGAAAGGCTTTGTCAGTGGCCCTTTTAAATTTATCAGCAATTATTTTGTCCACAACATGACGCCTAAATCTTTATGATCAAGAACTTTATGCAAGCAATTCTATGTATTTTGTTGATTGACGGATATTTACGTTTTCATATCGATTTCGTGTGTAATAACCGTACAATCGAGGATCCCAAACCCAGTCAAACCGCCTTCCTGACTTCTACAGGAATCAGAAAGATGGTTTGGAGGTATATTTTGGAAAATATTCGGTGTGCTGAGAAGTGGGTGATCTAAGATCAACAACTGTTGGGCGAGATGTGTAGTATAGAGTACCTAATAATGGTCTGGTGAAGAAACTTGACCGTGCACCTTCAACTAAGGTGTTCCCAGTAAAATCAATGAAGCCAAGACCAATGCTGAAGACTTATAGAACGTTTTGTTGTCAGAATATATTACCGCAACAATGTGAATGAATTTTAGGATGTACGAAATAACGACAACTATGAAACAGATATGTACTAGCAAATGTGTAATGAACCAACGCAAAATTTTTCTCCCAAACTCGGAAATGTTCATAAGCGTTAATTATGAGTTTGACCTGAAGCTTCTGGTATGACAAAAACACAACGAAGGCTGATTATATTAAAAAGTGGAAAAAAATTACTTTTGCTCTTGGGTCAGCTAGCATGTGACGAAAATTGCGAAGACTACCTGCATCAATAAGTCACCATTTTTCATTTTCAGAGTTAATTGTACGTGAAAAACCTAGATTCTTGATATTCTTTGTTACCCTTTGACCTTGAGTTCCTGACCTTCATTTATGTCTAACAATTGTCACTTATCACTAACTGAGAATAAACTCATTACTATCGGCGTTATTGGGCTTCCAGGTTCAGGAAAATCATGCTTTTGCAATAGATTTGTTTTTCGTCACCCAGATTTGTACGTCAGGGATTCTCATTCCATTAGTGATACCTCTCAATCCTGCGATGCCAATCTAAGTGATAATCGTTGGCTGTACTGGGGATGTGCGTGCCGTCAGATAGATGGAAGTACCATAAAATTTCAAATACTAGAACACACGAAGTCCCCGGACGGTGTATCGTACTCAATACCTCCATACTCAACATGTAATTACGATATCAATCAGTTTTTAGAATATATTCATAAAAGCATTGAAATTCACTTGGTATCTAAAAATAAGTTAACCTGTGCGTGTAAGAAAGAAGTGTGCAAAGGTTCAAGTATCGGTGATTGCTTTGGATCAAACGAAGTGAAGGTTGATGGATTTATTTTGATATTTGATACTACCACTTGCACGAGTAAGACTCACTGTGTAGATCCAAGCTACTTATGCAACTCAACTATCCTGCAGGAGACATTGAACTGCCTTTCAAGAGTTCAAAAACCAGCCGTTGTTGTGTTGACTAAGTTGGATAGTTGTGATATTTCTAAATTAGGATTAGATGTTTTTCTCAAGTCAAATGAATTCAAGAAAATTCCTGTGATTGAGACTTCGGCACATGAAAATGTTAATATCGAAGAAGCGTTCCTTACTCTTTACAGGCTTATGGAATCTAAAACTCGTGTTCATAAATGGAGACACATTTCATATATAGGAGCTGCTTATAAACGGAGTCAGTTGGTCAATTCAGCGATGCATTCATTTATACGTCTAGTGTTCATATCTCCTCCGGAATTTTTAACTGATTGGGAAACCTTCATGGGAAGATACAGCCATCACACTGATGTAGTAAACTATATATACCTGGTTGGTTCTTTAAATGCAAGGTACAAATTCAAGGCTGTAGTTGAGGAACGTTTCAGAATGACAAGGCTGAACTCACTGAGTAAAGTGCCAGGTATTCTTATGCATCTGTTGCCGAATCTGGACACGGTTCATGGTTTGTAAGTCCTATTATTAACAACTTGATATACAAAATTCATTAACGTTATACAATGTTTTCTGGCTAACTGGCTGCTTTAAGTTTATCTGGTATTATCCTTAAGTTTCATCTACTTGTTGAAAATTGACTACACTAAGACGAAGAGACTATCTTCTTTAATAATATCATCACGTTTCGTTTAGATCAGGTAGGTTACATCACTAGTCCTTTGACGCTAAAGCGTTACTGGTCAGTTATACAGATCTGTGCTTGGTAACTGAGCTGATTTGTTGTCATTAATGCTCTCCTTGTGCTTTATATATATATATATGTATATATATATATATATATATATATATATATATATATATATATATATATATGACCCTGGTAACTAGTGTAGGTGACATACTTGAAACCTTTTGTGGGCTATGTGATAGGAAGGACTAAATATAGAATGATGAGGCTTGCAAAAATCCAAAATTAGTACTAAAGAGCAAGTTCTACAGGTAAATAGTGTCCATAAAAGCCATAGAAAAAAATTTCGAACAGATATAGCAGAAAGTTTCAAAACTGGTGAGGGTAAAATCTTTGATTAATTTTACTGTAGTTAGAGGAGAAACATGTTGTACAGGCTTTTCTTGAGTTAAGACATGGATTGTTAGCTTTATTTCATGTGGCCCTAACTGTATAGGAAAAGGTCAAATATAATTAGTGACATATAGATTGCAGCGAATTGTCGTGTTGTGAGTCATAATTGTGGATCCAAAGCTCAAGAATATATAAATTATAGTTGGTTTATATACACTGCCATTTTTTTAAAGCTGGAATAGTCGGCAATCAAAAATAATCACCTAATTATTATTAACCTCTACACTATCATACCCTATTAATTTCAAGATATTATGTTTTGGAGTTAAGCCATTTGGACTTGAATCTTCTGCTAATTCTAGGATAAGACGAATGATCTTAAATTATGTAAAATACTTAAGTCTAGGCAATCTATGTCGTATCAGAAAACGTTCCACCTGACAAACTGTAGTGTAACCTCTATGCTCACTGGATCTCATTAAAGCACCAGTAGTAATTCAGTCCTAACATTTCAGGGGCTAGTGTGTACAGCGTTTTGAATAAAGCTGTTTGTCATATGAACAGGTAAATGTCTTGTCAGTGAAAAATGTACAAGTGTGCAGATGTCAACAAAGTTTTATTTCCTTATTTGGAAAAATTTCAGTAACTGTGTTACAGTAATTTTCTACACTGTACACAAAAATATCTGCGAAAATTAAATGTAAATTATCATAAGACATGTTTGTAACAAAATATCATAACAGTTATTTTAATCTATGTTGTTTTATATACAATACACGTGATGCTTATTTACTACTGTGCTTTCTTGGTAGTTCATTTGAACAGATCGTATCACACATTCGTCGTCATGAAGAATTTTCTCTATGCTTTCAAGATGATACGTACTATAACTGCAGCACAGGTCTCAATAATGTACTACATGACGATTCACGTGTACCTTTTCATCTGGCTATTGAACCAATAGCTGAATCCGAGAATTGTCTATTAAAGCAGCATGTGGATCGTTTGACTAACATAAGACGTCGTCATACAGAAAAGGCATTCCTAGAGACTTCTCTTCATCATGGATTTCGAAACTGCCTCACCGCCACTCTAAATGAGGACTTTTCCGACGAGCGTATACTACCGGGACAACCACTCTCGGATGTTAAGTCAAATATTAGTTCACTTGATTTGCTTGAGCTTACTAAGGAGGAAATATCTGGGGTTAGTCATACTCAATATTTTTTGTGTTTTGACAATATTTTAGGTATGTAGAGTATGAGTAACTGTCATTTATCATATTTTTCAACAAACGTTTAAAGTTTATTATCCATCATAAGTTTATTAGTGGAATTCTTCATTCTCAATTATCCTAGGTATCTCTATTATGGAAAGAATTTCATTGTTTATTGGTTTTTGTTTCTTAAAATTGCTGAGAATATGTCTTAAGAATGCGTGTAGTGTATAATTTACGAGGTTTAAACACGTTAGTTGTCTTTCATTTTTTCCTACCTGTTCATCACTAAAGCTGACCCTCATTATTTTACTGGTTGACATTTTGTCAGATAATACTATGACCTATGGTACCAACGCTCTTTGTAAACTTTATCATCTCACATGTTAGCTTACCGTATAAGTTTTATTTTTTATGAACTCGTGATGGGATGATCGACTTATGTATAGAAACGTCTTCGATTGAGTGATAGTTGAAATGAATATTTTATGCCTAGCTAAGATCAATGTATATTATGTATCAGTGCACGAAACTAGCTTATCAGTATAAATAGTCAACTCACAATAACTTACAGGTTTGAACTCTGTTCCACTTATCGAAACTTGATCAGTAGGAACACATAATTATTTTATTTATTTATTCTTTAGAGAAGTGATTTACAATAAGTTGAAAATTGTGATAAAAGTGATTTTCTACCCATTGGGATGTTAAAGATATATCATCTTTTATCACAACGATATTATTATCGCACAATAAGTCTAATACACTAAACTATAAATAACTATTGGGCTACACAATTGTAGTTGTTAATTACCCATATATGGTGCAACGTACCCTTCTGTAACACTGGAAGTGTTAGTATTAGTAGCCTAGTCTCTACATATTCCATCAAAATGAATCGACTGTCGAAATTACAAGCCTTTATCCAACAGCTAAGTGCTTAGAGCACCAAGTTGGTGCTCTCGATTATAGCATACATCTTTAGGCTTATCTACTATTGAAAATGTTTCTTTTCTCCTAACCTATACTGAAGTTTCGACCTTTATGGTAGATTAATTCTTCATTAGTTACTTTAGGGATTCTGTAGACTAATTTTATGATTTAATTTGTTTTCATTGTAGATATATCAACAGTTTCAACTAGGTTTGCATATTCGAGTACGCGAGGACTTTTTAGATTTATTGGTTGAACAAACCGAGATTTTTGTCAAGACAGTGTTAGGTTATTTGGATCACCTTCGCGACAGTTATCCATATATTACGCGTGCATTGGATTCAGCGAATGGGGATTACAGTGAACGATCTTCAAAGATAAATCACGACCTATTGCCTTCGAGAACGTTACGTACTTCCGACCAAAACATTTGCGTTCAAACAGCACCATCACCGTATGTATCTTTTAATCAAACTAAGTATTTAAGTGCTCCCCCTAGAGGCGTGAAAGAAACTCAAATTACTTGGTTAAATGAACAGTTATCTAAGGACGATCGCTACCAAGCCATGGCTTATCTACCATCGGAACGACAAACTTTAATTACAGCTTATTTTGATATGCTTATTCCGTCCACTGATTCCCACAGATTTATCCCAAGAAGTCTGTGGAACGATATTTTGACCATGGACTTTAGAGGTTAGTTTTGTTTGTTTATCAGACTGCTAAGATTTTCTGCACTACCACATAAATGTAGTGTATTATCTGCTTCTTGTGATGTCTTACAACAAAATGGCCCCATATATGCCGTTTTGTTAACAGTATGTGTATTCCTCTTCATAGTTTAGTCGGAAGTTATGTTAATGGCTGGTATATATATACCATTACTGAAAATGATGACAAAACCCATATTAATGCACAGCTGGTCAGTTTGATATGAAAGAGGTAACGTTTAAAGAAAATAAAGGTGCATTGATTGGGAAGACTTAGTTCCCAATTGATTTTGATTAAACATATGTCGTAGGGTTTTCAATAATGTGAAGTACACACCGTATTGGTTATCTTCTTAAAAGCAGGGTTGTCTCTAACAAGTCCTGAATGCAAAACATAAATGCGTTTATAGAATGTTATATTTACAAAGTTATGTGCGTTTCAAATGATTGATGGTGCATCTTTGCCACGGAAGGTACATCAAGCAGTTTACTCACTAATGATACGGCTTTGTGTTTCATAACACTTCCTTGTTCTGTATTAATTGTCCATTGCTGTCCTTGTTTGGTACTATAGTACGTTGAGAGGTCGTATATTAGGTTTATCTTGTAGAAAAGAACCAAGTTTACTAAGCGCTAATGCGTCTGTTGTAATTCAGTTAGACTACCTCGCCATACTTAGTGTTTCTTCTCAGCATTCGATCATCTGGCCATAAAGTTGAGTCTCGCTCCATCTATTTGGTTTGAATGCCGAGTTGGTGTTGTCGTCCATCACGTGGTTCAAAGTTCAACTCATAAATCCGTACTTGTTGAGTGGTTTAATTACAGTCAGGAGGTTTCAAAGTAATGATGTAGCCAACTATACAGTTTGATATAGAATTTTTAATAGGAAGATGTATTTATACATGTTTATAGGTAGTTTGGATTTTCGAATGCCAGCACCTTCTTGTACTTTGGATTTATCCATTTTGTTGATTATTTTTACTGACGTTGATATATCCAATCACATCGCAAATTTAAAGTTGTGTTAATTTCGACCAGTCTTGTAATATCATTCCTTATGGTCAATATGTCTGGAAAGTACTTGGGCATTTCGAAATTCCTATCCAAAACTTCCAGAGAACTGGGTTTTAACAACCATTTTTACTCTGAACAGATCTGTTATTCGTTTTTTTGTCCGGTCTTAGGTAAGTGCATCACTCGCAATCCCAGTCTAAATATGAATTCACTTACATGTTACTCCTGTAGCACAGGCTGCCAACTAGGATTCTCTAACCAACTCTGTCATAGGTTTGGTGTGATATCACTCTTTTCAGTTTTTCGGCACTTGTTCTTCCTCCCAAATGTTTCTGAGTAGAACGTGGAGAATCTTTATAATGTCTGGCTTCAGTGCTCCAGCTGGTGTATTGTCTGGTTCTACTGCTTTGCTGCTTTTGATCTGTATGATGGCCACCTTGATTTCTTCGATCGTTGGTGTGACAACTATAGAAATATTTGTTTGTACTGTTTCAACGTCCGGTGGGTTTGGACGGCTGGTCTATCCAAGAGCTCCAAAATGCCCTATCCACCTATTTCGTTGCTCTTGAATCTCAGTGATTGGTTTCCCTTCCTTCTTCCTGACTGGTCTCTCTAGTTTACCATATTTCCCTACTAGCTTCTTTGTTATGTTGCATAGTTGTCTCATGTTCCCTTCTCTTTCAGCTTTTCCCACTGTCGTTGTCGGGTCTTCCATGTATTTCCGCTTGTCGGATCTAATGCTTCTCTTCACTCGTGTGTTTACTTCTGTGCATTCAGGTTATGTCTTGATTTTCTCTGCTATTGTTCGACTGTTGTTAATTGCTGTCTTCTTGTTCTTCCTTTCTCCAATCCTGTCCAGGCCCCCAAATGCCCTGGTACGGCCGAGAGTGTGGAGAGTCAGCTATCCCTCTTGAAACGCTCTCACATGGCCACGCGTATATAGCCTCTGCCAGGGAAGTCCTATTCACTGCCTTCCCGTGGCATTACCGTTGTTTACGAAATTGAGAGGACGAAAAGTGAATGTCCGGCGCTTTAAACGGGTTGGTGGACACGGAGAACCCACCTAGAGGAGTTGGAAAACCCTTATTCCAAACCAATGGTGTACATGGGCTCCAGTATCCTAAAGGATCAAATGTCGTATGAACCAATCGTTGGTCACCGGCTACCATGGGACTGTATCTCCTTACGATGCTCCACTGCTTTGTGGATCAGACCTTCAGGTTGAAGGCTCCGGATGTGGCCCCCTAAGAAAACCACCTGCTTCGGTTTGGGCACCCGGGCAGTATCATAGCCCTCACACATATCAAATGAGATCTGTGTTGCGCATATGTATTTGGTGCCTCCTTGTACTAATATCTATGTGTTAAAATAAAATAAATCCTGTCCAGAGTATTGGTATAGATGCATTCCTTATGATGATACTTCTTGAGGCCCAGCAACTTCTGACACGTTGAAGTTAGTGCTTGTTTAATCCCTTTCCAGTTGATCAACATGAGTGGTTTCCTCTTCCTTGAGTAGATCTTGTAAGGCTTGTAATTTGTCACTGAGAGCTATTTTGAATTCGCTGAGTCTGTTGGTATCCCGAAATGGAGTGTTTATTAAACTTTTGTAGTTCCGTTCGACCGATTTCCCACTTCTTCTTTGGCTTTAGTTTTAGCGTAGACTATCAGATGGTGAAGTCATATCAGGTGCTTACCTTGTTCTTACGTCTTTCATGAACCCTCTAAATAATTTTATTAATTCAGACTGGTTCTCTGTAGTGTGATCCGGTGAGACTCATGTAGCTTTGTGTATGCATTTGTGGGAGAATATAGTGCCACCTATAACCATTTTGTTGATGGGATATGGATTTGCAAATCTGTAACCCTTCTCTTTCCTTTCTCCCAGTCAGTCTATACTTTCCCATGATATTCGACTTTGGCGTTTAGGTCTTCCATCAGTATGGTCAGGTCCTTTCCTGAGAATTTCTTCACGATCGAATACAGCCTGCTATAAAACCGATCTTTATCGGTTCCAGCTTGGGTTCAATGGGTTTTACTTATTCTGAGAACCGTCAAGTTGTATCTCCTCACTTCGCAGCTATCTGACTGATTCTCCCGGTTTTCTATATTGTCCGGACATTTCATGTACCTATATTAGTTGCCGCTCTGGTTATGCAAAGAGCCATCAGCTCGTGACTTCCGAAGCATCTCGGTTTTCACTATGAGACGAAGATCTTCCAACTTCCAGGGCAGAGTCTAAGTGGTTTGAGTGATTTTTTGTGTTTAAGGTTTATTTAGCAAAGTTGTTTTCTACGACATCGGGTTGCTTCCCCCATGTCCAACCCTCTTGTTTTATCCGGTCTTGAAGCCTGCAGAAACGTTAGAGTGGCTCCAGACGGAGTCCATTCGCAGTTAAGCCGAAAGTATAAAGAAGAGAATACCTCCGTTGGGTATAAAGCAGACGGTAAATTTACAGAGAGTATTGAATTAAAAGTTCTTCAAAGTATTTTAATGGATGTGAGGATCCTCTTTTCAAGGATTTTATACTTAAATAGGTAATTTCAGCCTTTCTCATTGATGAATTAAGCGTTTGCTCAATGAACTGAATACTGAGTTTCTTAACTTCAGTAACAATTTTTGTAAGTCTTATAGTTTATAGATGATTTTGTTGTGTATTTGACATCTTTAAGAAACAAACAGCTATTCTTAATGTATATTAACAGATTAACGATTTATTTATTCCAATTGATCCGATCAATATATAAAGTAGCAATTCAAACATATTTCGTTCAGTTAATCAACTAAGAAAATTTTTGTTAACTTTTTGTTGAAACAGTCCAAAATGCAAGAAATCCCATGGCATCCAATGAAATGGATTCTCCAGTAATAGATAATGCCTTATGTATTGACCCAACAACAGATTATTGCTCTGAAAGTTGTCGATTTGAATCATCATATTTATGTTCACCATGTTTGTCTGTTTTATGTGGCGGGTGTATGGATGTACTCTTTAAGCAACTCGCACATGAATACCTTCCGGGTAATTTTGTATACTCCAGAGGACAATTCACTAACTTTTCCGAAGGTAACAGTAATTACTTCTGTTTGGATAAAAGTATGTTGTCTATTCCCAGATCAAGTACACCTCGAATACCTAGTCTTTCATGTCTTCCTTTATCGGTTAATGACCATTCACCGCTAGTTTTATCAATTGCTATCGCATGCATATGCACTGATACATTGGCTGCACATGCCATCATTAATCTGCTGTCGTGCGCAGGGTTCTGTATGGCTTCCTTTATTTCAAAAACTTCAGAGCATTCAGTTGATCATCGATCTGATCATTGCCAGGATTATCACCATCGTCATCAACACACTAGTCTGAAGCCTTCAACTTTGTCTGCTTCAGAGGAGAACAGTATATCAGATCCTTTAGTGCTAACTGCTACATGGCCTCTACCGACAACAAGATTGTTTATGTCTGGTTTCTCCAGTACACCTGTTTCAAGTCCATCTATAATAAGTTCATTTAAAGACGTGGAGTCACTTAAGATCTACGATGGTCAAGTTCACATTCATTTAATGTCACACCATACAGTAAGTTTGTTTAACAGTTGAATCCATTTGATTTAATCTTTATTTCACTTTATTGGTTGGATATCACTTTGTTGATTAATTCTGTGATTGTGTCGCAAAATGCCCAATCATGGACTATTGGTTTATAATAATCGATGTTTGGTTTATTTAAGGACTATACAATGATATTGTTATAAAGTAATATTTTACGGTTTGATGAACGAAAGTTTCAATTGCTAAAATGAAAGTAAAGAATGATCATCAGTCAATGATACATTATTTCCTACTTGACTACTTATCGATCTAAAGTGATTTTCATTCTCATACGTTATATTTGGGGTTTAGCATTCCCAAAATACATCAACTCGAATATTGGTAATATGGAATGGCAAATTTCATGTCTCAGCTGATCTGAATGGAGATACAAAGTTTGGTAGTAATTTATCAATCCTACCTGTTTTGCAATTTGAATGTGTCAAAAGCGCTTTATTATTATTCATGATGTTTAATGTTTTTTGACTGATTGAAGAAAAAGTAAAAAAATATCAACTTTAGAAATGTGTATATTATTGTGTACTGACCTAAGGTGTTTTGAATATAGACCAAGCTGTTCACAAGAAGAGCTACCAAGACTTGTTCAACTGATTTCAAACGCATATCGTTTGTACCTCTTAAGTTGAACATAATATATATAGAAGTGATGACCAACAGTAGATGGCGTGTATGGCTGAAAGTAAGTGTTACTGCAACCATTAATAAGAAAAACTTTTTATTACTCTATGTTTATAATAGTCAGTTGAGGAGACGTTTAAGTTTCATGTCTCGATTGTTATGTATATAAGCGTCAACAAACCATGCGTGTTCATTTGTGTGAAGATTTTGAATTAAAACATCAAGAAGCGTAGTTGACCATAGTAGGTTATCGGCTAGGTTCTGTTGGGTAAAATTTACAAACTATTAGATTTTATACGATGATAAATTTCATTTATGCTTATAACTTCATTGGCTTATTAATTTGACAGACAGTCATTGAATGAAAACTTTATATGTTCATCCTTCTTGTTTGTCATCTGTTACAAAACTAACCAGTAATTATGTTAGAATATTGAATTAGAGTAGTTTATTTTGTTGGTGGACGGCCTATGCTCCTCCACGAGGGATGAATTATTTAATGGTGGTCAGTTTTTTACACAACGAATTTTCTACTCAGTTAATATAGAAACCTCTGTCAAATTAATGAGTTAGACTTGTTTTTTAACAATGATGAACAGTTGCTATTCTCCATTTATTACCGTTATATCATGTTCTTGTTTATAAATTTTTTATACACAAATCATAGTTTTTTTTTTCTTTTAAGCTATTGAATAAACTATTGTTGTATCGAGAGAATATTACAAGTAAATCTGAACAATCTAATGGTATATTACTTGAAGAAAACAATGTAGACTTAAATACTACGAATTCACACCTCCTACCCTATTCAGGGATAATCCTTTTTACTAGCGCTCCATCTCCTGCTGATAAAGAACAGTGCAATGAATTATCACAGGAAACCGGTGAAATCTCCCCGCCTACACACTTATCAAAAAAACCCCAAGATAGAGTTATAAATTCTATGAATTTGCGTGGGGTAAATATGCATGAATTCAGTTCGTCACCTCAGTTACTCTTAAATGATCACTCACCTGACGAAAATGAGTGTGATTTTAAGGCACATGTAGAATGTGACCACTCTTCTGAATTTCCTTGTTCTCTTGATCAGTTATCATGCACGTGTTGCAACCTATTTTACAATAAAAAAGAAATCAATGCTTTAGGTTGTGTCTGTGGTCAGTGTTGTAATTGTGTGCATTCGTTGAAAAATTCCAACAACAGTTCTCTATTGCATATTAAACCTGATACATGGAAAGACAAAAAATTATATTCCAGTTTAATGTGTCCACATCGTAGACGTTCTTGGGAAGCAAGAGTTGCAGCCGTCAATTCAATTGTTGATCAAGTACCAAGAAATATTCCTCATTTAGTTCTATTAACCGAATCGTCCGATTATAGTGCCAAGTCAGAAGATCTACCACCATCTATTTATCCTGCCACCGAATCAATAAGATCCTCTACATTTTCCAATCAGTCGTACCCTAACATGTCATGTGATAAAAGTGAAAATTCATCTAGTTCATTGAACCGTGAATCTTGTTCATCCGATTGGATGCCTGTCGGAACAAATATCCTAGGTAGTTTGAAAATATTTTTGTGCGTTTTAATTAGATTTGTTTTTTTATTTATTTATTGATCTAATGCCTTTTAGTCTATTCAACATACCGCCCTAAGTATTCCCTCGACCAGTGACTTCTTTGTTGGTACACCTCAATTTGACTCAGCGTAATTAGGAACAGCCAGAATTAAATACAATTGAAGCTTAAGGTTTTATTTAAGGATTTTCTAAAGAGTCTTTAGTTTGCACAAGGTTATCTGATAAAATTATTTCGTCATCTAGGATTATCTATGGGACTCTGCTTCGGTTTGGGCACCTGGGCAGTATCTCAGCCCTCACACAAACCAAATGATTTATGTGGCGCATATCTATTTAGCGCGTCCTTGTGCCAATGTTCATGTGTTTAAATAAATAAATAATATCTATGGGGACTGATGGGTTGAAGACTGACTAGTCAACTTATTCCAACGATCCTCTCGTTATTGGTTGGAGTTGATATGCTGTATTAATTTGTCACTAGTCAATACTTTTAACTCTTCCATTATTCTTCAATAGTCGATGCTAATATACTGCTTTTTATAAATTTTGGTTTTGTTGCTATTGCGAAATTATTAACTGATCTACAGTACGTCATTTGTCTTGCAAGTTTTATTAGCCCTGGTGGATTCGTGTCTGACGAAATTTCGGCACAGATCCTAAAGTCTCGCTTGATATTTTGAACTTATACTACCTACAGGTTAGTCGAAGAATCTGTCTGTTTACTGAAGGGCGATTATAATGGTCACAAGTTCGTTGTGTTTTACTTTGAAAGTGGAAAGCATTCTTTATTTACTAGTGTTCATTGAAGTACTGCTTACGTATGATGGGACAGCCTAATGAGTAAAGTAAAGTTCTGGTGTAGGGTACTTAAAGTGCTGGTCGGCTTATGAATAGGTTAGACAAAAAGTAGACTTGGGTGAATCAAGATGGTAGCCGGTGACCAACGATTGGTTCATACGCCATTTGATCCTTTAGGATACTGGAGCCCATGTACACCATTGGTTTGGAATAAGGGTTTTCCAACTCCCCTAAGTTGACTCTCCATGTCCACCAACCCGTTTAAAGCGCCGGACATTCACTTTTTGTCCTCTCAATTTCGTAAACAACGGTAATGCCACGAGAAGGCAGTGAGTAGAAATTTCCTGGTAGTGGCTGTATACACGTGGCGATGTGAGAATATTTTGTGAGGGATAGCTGACCCTCCCCACTCTCGGCCGTACCAGGGCATTTGGGGGTATTTGTTTATTTCTGCTCATTACTAAAGAGAATAAACCCAAGACAACGAACTTAATTTTCATGATGGTTTATTAGACCCTAACATTAATAATTTTGTTTCTGTTAATTTTCCTGTCCTTGATTTTCACCACTACTTGAATTGTCATTTTTATATTTCTTTACAAACTTCTAGATCATGTTATAAACTTTCTTAGTCATTGTTGGAACAAAATGAATCAAAATGTGTCTTCTAAATATGTTGGAAAACATAAACACACCTGTCGTGTCACTCCTTCCAAGAACTCTGAAATTTCAAATAGTCCTAGTTCACCACATCTAATGGTAGCAAGAAACTATGCAAATCAGTCTTCTGCAGAAATATCATTGGATAAACCTTTCAGTGGAGGACTTTTAAATACCTTATCAGTTGCTTCAGCCACTGGGCGGAAGGCTATGCATTCGGCCAATCAGGCTTTAAGAAAGCTTTCTAATACTACCAAATGCTATCATAATTGTAAATCATCTCTGGCGACCAATTCGAAAGGCTTTCTTTCCAGCTTTATCGATTCTCAAAGTAAGGTTAGCGTTGATGAAAAATCAGAAACAATGCCCGAACAAGTCTCTTTCATCTCAAATTCAAAATCAAAGACTTTAGAATCAATGATCTCACCGGGTACTCTTATTGCTTCTAATGATAACCCAATAACTATTACTTCTCCACCAACCATCCAAACAAACAAATCTTTCAGTGAGCATAATCATACACCTAAAAGGTTCAATTGCAGTGAACATCCTGTTCGATGGACAGTTGGCCCTTCACCACTTCATGCGTAAGTCAGTGTTTCTTTTTAGAGTAAATTATTTCTTTTATTGTTAGAGATAATATTTAAACAAAGTAAATTGTACATCATGCCTTAGTTCAATTCTTTTCTAAACCTAAAATAACCTGAATAGAACACTGGATGTGACCACTAAGACAGCTATATGTCAATAGTTGGAACTCTCAAATTTCAATAATTTGGTTAGAAATTTGAAACCCACTCCACCTACTTCAGTTTGGACATTCACGTAGCATAATGACCCGTCGTACACAAATATTGTATGGTTCAAAGATGAGAATACAAACCTATTGTTGTTATTGAGGCAGCTTTTTCCACATATTGATGAGGATTCATCAGCATACATAATTAGGAAAATCAAGTTATTGAACTTATTAGTTTGTTTCAACAGATAAAATATGTTAATATAGAACAATTATGCTTTGCTGTTTCGTGCTTCAATTGGCTGAGATTTAGACTTATCAGAGTGATGAAAATAAGAAGCAGAAGGGACTATCGAATTAGTTCAAGATCAATAACTATGATCAGATTTCATCTTAACTACTATTAGATATGATAACATAACAGTCAGTGTATTGTTGCAAACATGAACCCAGATAAGTCCAGAAAAAACAATTACTTTATGCTTAAGCAAATTTCAACATGAATGGGATGCTTAGTTAATATTATGGGATGATAAGCGTAGCGGCTTACAAGGTCAGGGTCATTCATTGGTGATTATCGCCCATAATGTGGTAATTTGTACAATTCAAAATATTGATCTCGCATAAACCTAATATAAAACTCTAAGTTGCTTAGATTTAAAAGAACACAACATAATATCTGTAGATTTCGGAGTCACTTCTGTTATTGGATTTTGAATACTGCTGCTTAAATAAGTGCAGATTTAGGTGAGTTTAATGTTTGTGATCAAATAATCAGAAGTTGAATGGTTCGCCACTGGCTTCTATTCTGAGCCATATCTGATAACGTCTCTAGCCACTGTGTCGCACCATCTCTCAGACCCCGGCCAGGGAGTCGTGAAGGACCAACAGAAGCCAGCCCTTTGCAGCTTTCTTTCATGCCACGACACCACGTCATACGCCGACCACCTCTCCGCTTTCTCCAACCAGTCCCAGAGTCAACAGATAATGCACGACGTGGAATTCTCTGGGACGACATTCGTAGAACATGTCCAAGCCACCGAAGTCGGTGTTTCAAGATGGTGACACCAATTGCATTATCGTCTCTGCGCCCGAACACACGATCCCGAATCTCTGCATTACTGACATGATGTTGCCACTGGATGTCAGCAATCCTTTGGAGACGGCGATGATCGAACACAGAGAGTCGTCTAACGTCCTCAACTCGTAGAGACCAGGTTTCACAAGCATAGAGCAAAACTGCCCTCACCGACGCGTTGTAGATCCGACCTTTTACAGCCAGGCTGACATCACGAAGGCGCCAAAGATGGCCCAGATTGGCATAAGCCGCTCTGGCTTTCACTATGCGTGCATTGATCTCATCACTCAGGCCACCACCAGCAATTACGCAGCTACCAAGATACATGAACTTCTCGACTACTTCTATCTGCTCACCACCCAGGGTGAGTACAGGATTAGAATCCTGCCAGTCTTGTAGAAGTACTTTGCACTTCGAAGGTGCAAAGCACATACCATACTTACGGGCATTGATTGTCAACTGATTAAGTGCGGATTGCATGGCTTGGGCATTATCGCCCAGTAAGACAATACCATCCGCATACTCAAGGTCGAGAAGTCTTTCTCCAGGCAGCAGATCTACACCGCCATTACTTACATCCTTCAGAGCTATTTCCAGAATGTCATCGATGGCAAAGTTGAAGAGGAATGGTGAGATTGGGCAACTCTGCCTAACCCCACTGCTTGAATGGAACATTAGAGAGAGGTGGTTGTATGCCCTCACTCTGCCTGAGGTGTTTGCATATAGGGCCCTTAGGATGTTAATAAACTTCTCAGGTATACCTTTCTTCAATAGACAACTCTAGAGAACAGTCCTGTTCGACGAATCGAAAGCAGCCCTGATGTCAAGAAACACTACGATTGTTGGTCTGTGATAAGTATGACGGTGTTTAACATTTGCGGAGGGTGAGGATATGATCAATACATCCTCGACCAGAACGAAAAGCAGCCTGCTCCTAGCGAGTCAATCTTTCTCGGGTTTTGAACAACCCACGAAGTATGACAGAAGTCAACAGTTTGAACGCAATTGGAAGTAGACTTATCCCCGATAGTTGTTACAGGAACGACGTGAACCCTTTTTAAAGATAGGGACAACTATCGACTCATTCCATGACGTTGGTACACTCTCTAGCTTCCAGACCTTTGTAAACAATGTTGTCAGTTCCCTAACCAGAAAGTCACTACCATCTTTAAAAAGAGCCGGAGGTATGTCATCTGAGCCCGGTGATTTGTAGCGCTTTAAGAGTTGGAGTTCCTTGTGGACTTCCGCTTCATTTGGTGTATCAGTCGTCACAGGCCATGGGGGGCAGGACAGTCTGACCAATGTTCCTGGGGCATCAGGTCGGTTGAACTGCCCCTCGGATGCGTTGGAAGAGCTTCCGGTAGTTACCAGATGCAACTGCTGCTTCCAGCTCATCAGCACGCACCGACCACCAGGCTTCTCGGTCCTTACACAAGCCTTGATCAATTTCATTACGTAACATCCTTCGTTTGTGGTTAAACTCACGGTCACCCGGAGTAGACCGACGGGTCTTGATGAGTTGTAAGAAGCCTGAAGAAACCCAGTGCTCATAAGCGGGCTGTTTCGCGAACCCACAACTGACTTTACTCGCCATTTTCATGGCGTCATGCAATCGCAACCAATACTCATCTATACTTTTCGGTGGCATAGTAGCCAGCCTAGAAGCTAGCTCGGTTCGATACTTACTAGCAACAGAAGTTGCAACCAACTTTCTGACATCAATCCTTTGGTGGAGGTCAATTCGTCGGTCACTGAGAAATAAGGTAAGGTTGGCGCAGACCAGGGCATGATCAGAGTGCAGATAGGTACTCCAAAAGGATCGGTAGTCTTGTAAACAACCACTCCAGAGGTAGCTGATCGCGATGTGATCAATCTGAGTCCAGGCTTGAGATGCAGAGGGAGGACGCCAGGTGGCACGTCGGCGATGACTGTGCCGAAAGTTAATGTTAGCCAGAAACAGGTTGTGGTTTGCGCACAGTTGTAGTAGATGGTCCCCGTTATCTGTCCTGCGACCAACAGGTCCCCATCGGCCACCTAAACGACTCTCTTCTGTGCCTAGACGCCCGACCTGAGCATTCAAGTCTCCGGCTAGTACTACAATATCTGTCGAACGCACTTTCTGGAGAAGAACAGATAACTGGTGGTAGAATTCGTCCTTGATTGCATCCGGGCTGCAATCTGTCGAGGCATAGGCGGAGATGACGAAAAGACATCGTTTCTCACGCCGATTTCTCCTCACTTTGATGGAAATTTCGAACCTCACAGCACATAACCGACTGGTAATGGGGATCCAATCGATTAGTGCTGTCTCAGCTTTAGCGCTTAGTGCGACATCAACGCCAGCAAGACCATACGAAGATGCCACAGGGTCCCCGGATAAACGCACGTAAAACAAGCTTTTTGGATCGACAGATGGAGGGCGAATTCGTAGTATTTCACCAGAGTCTTGAATACGGGTCTCGGATTGACAACAAACGTCGATATTAAGACTTTCTAAAGACATAGCCAGCCCTATCTGTTGTCAAACCTGCATAAGTGTGCGAACGTTGAAGGCAGCCAGTTTGAATGGTGCATGTGGTTTCAGAAAAACTGCTTCAGTACTCGTATTCGGTGGTAGCATTCAATTTCCAACCAGGCAGTGACTCGAGAACGTTAGATAGAGCCGAATTTCAACCATAGGCGAGCTGCTGTATAAGTCGAAAAGTAAGGATACATATAGTGGGAATAAAAGCGAGTGAGTAAATGACGTAGTAAATAATAATAATAATAATAATAATAATAATAATAATAATAATAATAATAATAATAATAATAATATGAATCATTTGATTGTTAATCCCAGCGAAAAGAGTATTTTTCATAAATATAGACAGTTTATCATATTTGTGTGCGGGCTGTGATACTGCCCAGGTGCCCAAACCGAAGCAGGTGGTTTTCTTAGGGAGCCACATCCGGAGCCTTCAACCTGAAGGTCTGATCCACAAAGCAGTGGAGCATCGTAAGGAGATACAGTCCCATGGTAGCCGGTGACCAACGATTGGTTCAAACACGACATTTGATCTTTTAGGATACTGGAGCCCATGTACACCATTGGTTTGGAATAAGGGTTTTCCGACTCCCCTAGGTGGACTCTTCATGTCCACCAACCCGTTTAAAGCGCCATTTGTTCCCGCAGGATACTGGAACCCATGTGCACCATGGGAGTAATAACACTATCATGGGCAGTAGAGAAGATTAGTTGTAAGGAGCACGATTTGAGAAAGAAACATTAAATCGCTGAATAAAAAGTGCAAGGTGATTTTAAAACTCAAAATCTAAAGTGAAGCAAAGATTGAATGCATTTAGATAATTGAAACTGATAATGATTTATTTCACCAAACGTCTCCAGCCGTTGGTCATGATGCTGGCAAGGATCCGAACCAGGTAATCTGGACCTACGAACATCGCTCATTCCACCAGTCAATGACTACGGATTGATCTCATGTCTTGCTTTGATCAACCTGACTTTCTTCCAACCTACTCCTACACCATCAAATATCTCTAGGTACATGGTGTCTAGGCGTACATAACATATGTCCTAACTACCTCAACTGATAATTGTTTATAACCACCTCAACCAACTCCCCATTTTTACCTAGTACTTTGGTCTTTTTATAAGACGCTAGCAATCCTCCAAAGACACCTATTATTCTAAACCGTCTGCCTATATGTGTCTTCTACTTTCATATACCATGTTTTACTGCCAAAAAGTGGAATAGGGCAAACTGTCGGACAGTATAGATCCCCTTTGATTGACAGACGGATATTTCGTCTACACCATAAGTGACGTCATTCGCCAAACGCCGGCCGGGCTTTCTGAATCGGTATCGAGATTTCGTCCGACATCAATACCTCGATGCTGATGAGACTTCACAATAGGTGCAATAATCAACTCACTCAACCACTTCACTCCCTCTCACTAGTTCAGACGTTGACGCAAAACATTCCTGAAGCAACATTTTGTATCTAGAGCGAGTGAAGCATATCAATATCCTAAACATTTTCTTTAAGACAGTGATGCATTTTTAAAAAAATGTGTATCACCAACGAAGATGCAGAGTCTGGATCTACTGTCTGAATAACTACCATGAAATACTTAAAGTCCTTTTGTTAAATAAGCATACGGAAATTTCGGCACAATTTCTAACTCTTAACGTACAACTATCCCGATGGCTTAGTTCATTCCCTTAAAATAGAAGTTTATCAAGCATATTCTTTTTAGGCCACTGGTTAATTGCCGTTAATAAGCTTCATCGGATAATAATTGTTCGGTAATTCACCCCTAATATTTTCTAATTTATAATTTAGTGAACCATCAGAGCATAGTTTTGTTACCCTTAAAAAAATTGACCGAAAGCTGTTAAAATGTAGATACTAACCAGATTAAGAAATTTTGTTGTAGATAGAAATTTAAACTAAATAATCCTCAGTTATTGTGATCTTGAACGCCAAAATTTATTCTATTTCGCGATTCGTACTCCCATGTAAATTTCAAGTTTGAGATAGCTGGATTAAAACATTTAGGGATCTGATCAGTGTGGTCTTTTTTAACACATGTAACGAAGATATCGGCAACCCATCTCACATATATCGTTTTTTATCGCTTTTATGAGTCTTCGTAGTTTCTGGTTGTGCAAATATTGGGCTTTGCACTTAAATCGATATTTTGTATTCTACCGACGTAATGGAGATTACTTTCCAAGGTATATGCAGTTAACTTTGTTTACTGGCTGTTTGTGTTATGTTTCAACGTAAATTCATTCGGAAGCATGCTTCAGCATATGCAGTCTCGTCAGACTTTACCAGTCGACCACATTGTACCATCAGGCATCATATATCAGTAAGACCTTTTCAGTGGTCTATATCACAACCAAAACGTATTTATAACACAAGCAAAACCTTCCCCAATAACATATTTCAATAGTTGTTCTTGGATATACTTCCAACACTGTACAAGATGTAGCATTTAGTGCAATTTCACCTAAAAATTCATTTCCTTAGCTGGGTACATTTACAGTTATTGAAAAAATTCAGATTAATTTAAACTGATACCATCTTTCTCATATTATGTTTGTTTCTCAGTGTTGTCTTTGTTGTTCTCTTTAATTTTAAAATGTAGTCATCGTAAAGAATCATCTATTCGAAAAGCAACAGAAAAATTACAAAGTAAAGCTTTTCATTTGAAAAAAAGCAATCCGAAATTGACGAATGATAAGACCATCTCATCAACTAAGTTAACTAATTTCGGCATCGACTCTACTCCGTTTTTATTCCCAATCAATGTTCAAGATAATGAAAAAACTACTCCTACTAGTAAAGGAAATAAATACTTACAGACTGATACGTTCGTATCAAAACTTTCACCAGCTCAAAGTCCTGATAAACTACCATGTTGCGAAAACCGGGAACATAGTATACACAATATTAGAAATTCATATATTGGATTATTCGATAAATGTTGTTATTGCACGAGTGATGTACCGGAAGATAACTTAAACATTAGTATGTTTCATAATTTTAAAATGTTTTCTTTGAATGTATGGAACCTTAGTGTCTAAAGTTGTGAATTAACTTTTTATCTTAACTATTCAACTTTCAACCATTGTATGTCACCTGTTCAATTCTCCTTCACCTTACTCCATTTTAAGTAACCATCACTTCATGAATGTGACTTAGGACACTTAACTTACTGGAAATTCTATCAGATAGTTTGAATTTTTGGGCATAGTTCTATTTAGTCAAAATACTGGATAAATATATGGTCTAAAGATGATTTTCATTAGTGTGACTATACATTGGTAATTTACAAAACGACTTTACTTTCTAATAAACTTATCACTAACAATGAAGGCTTGAACGCCTTCATTTATCTTGAATATATTACTAGCCAATGTCAAGTAGAATCTTTATAATGGGTATACATAGCATAGGAAACGTTTGTTATGTGTAACGGGATGATTTGGAATTTACGCTAAATTTAAGACAACGTCAGGAGTATCCATTCCTATCGCCCTCTCATTGTTGAAACTATCGGTCGAATTATGCCATAGCTAGGTATGTGTTTGCCTTTTCAAGTATGCTAACCGACCAGCGATTTCACAAAACTATCTTGAATGATAGCTTTTTTTAATAAAATTATCTTACTAAACATTCACTACATTGAAGCTGAAGGCATTTTTATAATTGAATGGGTTTTCTGATCATTTATTTATTTATGTCTTCCAAGACGTAAACTTTCTACGTGGCGCAGTAGAAATCAATTCCTTCTGTTGGAATAGTAAATTTTAAAAAAATATAATGTGGTTCATTCAAAAAGTTTAGGTTTGTGTATTCTAATTTTAGCCACCATTTTTGTGTATTAGCAGCGCCCAAATGAAAGAAAGGATAATAGAAGTTGAACCTGCTACCTAATGCTTGGAAGCAAAGTCCTTTGACCATTTAATCACCGTCTAAACTAAAGATTTATATGAAGATGAGTGGATACAACTGCACCTCTGTGATCGATTACGTGCCACATTACCAAGCGTTGACAACAGTAGATTAAGATTAGCTTACGGACTTCAAAAAGATAGTTTAAACTTATCTATATGGCTCAGACGAGCAGTCACTACATGAATTGATGCCCTCTGGTACTAGTTTTCTGCTAACCTCCTATGGTAGCCAGGATTAGACGTTGGGGTAGATACCAGCTTGGTATCCATAACCTGATTATCAGCTACCTCAGCCGGTAAAGCTTTAAAATCTTACCAATAAATTCATCGTCCTTACCTAGTATTGTACACCTAACCCCCAGCTTTACTCACTAAGTGGTTCCATTATATATGTGTAATTGTTTAATGAAACCTAAGCTCTAATACGATACATGTCTTTGCGGGCGTAAGGCAATTCATAACGAACAGATATATTATTTTAATTGATTTTGATCTCACTACTTTCGATTGGTGGCAGCCCAGTGGTTCAAGCACTCAAATTTTCACCTTTTCGATCACAAGTTGGAAGCCATGTTCATATACTTCACTTTGAGTTTCTAACCGGTAACTTATTATTAATTATAGCTCGATACATAAGCATACACTCAGTTGCTGAGTTTCAATAAAGCCTAACCGCTCTTAAAAAACTATTTGAGATGGGCTTGGTCATTATGGAATTCTTTTGGATGGGATAGGTAAATTGTATTTTATTCAGTATCTAGGATAAAACAAGACACGAAAATGATTATACCGAGTGTAATAAGCTTCTATGTCCACTGAAAACACCTTGAAGAGGTTCAACTCTGAGTATCAAGTCTCGTTATAAAGCAAATTGGTAATTAGACACTTTATACTTAGGTGGGGTTATGCTTGAAATTATAGAAATATACAGAATGATGAGTAGGTTGCAGGTAATCTGTATTTAGCTCTAGGAATATTTAATCATGCATCAATGAGTAAAATCGGAGATATTTGGATGACGCTTTTATTGTATTTGGATTTTGAAGATATTGATGGATGTTTTACATTCAGAAACGTGTTTTTTGTGAGTTAAAGACTCTTTGCTATTTCACTTTACATCTAACCGTTACCAACGATTTAGAAAAAACTCAAAAGCTACCACCACTCCGACTTATACCCTTGTCTTTTTTAATATTTTGCCATTGTTAAAGTCCTATTTCTTTTCTGTTCTATGAACTATTGTAAGGTTGTACATTAATATGTCCATCTGTCCGTTAACTCGTAAATTATGGAAACACAGATTGTTGTCGAAAATCGAAAACCGATCATCATTATCTCTTATTCGATAATAATTTCAATTTTATGAGTTTGATATGGTCGTTTGTTCATCCCTTTGCTTTCTCTCGCCTTTTAGGGATAAATAAACAAGATAATCAGCAGTTTATTGGAGGTTCACCTTCAGACATTTCTGTAACTGTAAGTTTATGAGTTCGTTCTCATAATTTGATCACTTAATCACTAACTTGATGATGCCTTTTTTTAACATTGTCATGTGAGGTTTGTCATTCACTTCATTTGTGAATCTTCACTAACTATTGATACTGTTTTCACGTATGTCCCACTACTTCTAAGGTTGGTCGTAGTTTGTTGACGTAGAAACGAATGACGAAGCCGAAGCACGGGCTTGGTCCATTAGGTTATTCCCCGTTGATTTAATCTATGTGGAGAGGTACACAGGTCTTTTTAGTTGGTTCCTTAGTGGTTGTAAACTTCAGTTGATTTCCTGTAAATTAAATTATTAATGCGTTGATTACTTATTTTTTATATCTGTTTACTCTTACTGATTATTCACAATTTGGAGATAGTCCGCTTCATGGATCGATATCATTTAAAGAACGACCGCAAATTATCGAGCGCTGAACATAGGTATCATTTTAATCTGGGTATCCCAACGGTTCACACCCAACCTTGCGTGAATTACAACTCAGGATCTTCACGTTTCACAGTAAACACGGTATATCGAGATCACCGGTGGGGACAACCAAACGTATTTGAACACAAAATTACAGTATCTCAGTAAAATATGAGAACCATACAGTAAATACTGCATTTGCAAAATGTCAATCAATTGTCTCAGACTTTGTTCCCTCGTTTCCACACCAATCACTATTCTCGTTCTCTTCTCTTCGATCTTCTTAACCTTCTGCCGCCAGGCACTCCACTTTCGATTGGTGATACATACTACTTATATCTGTCGACATCAGTAGCACGCACCACAGGTGCACATATACTAGTGTTTCAGAGTCTAAAGACCCATATTCTCAACTTCAGTTAATTCACAGTTATTACGCAGTGATTATCAAGTGTTATTGATAACATTTGTCCCATTTTCGACACGACTGATGCTATTGATATTATTTATCTGTCCACATTGAAATAAAATGAGCGGTATTCAAACTTAAAACCTATCGGCTAAAAGTTAGCTGCCTTGACCACTGAAATTTCCAGAGCTAGACATAATCGTCGAGATTTTAGTGGCCATTAATTCTAAACTGTAGTTAGTTAGTTACTCACGCCTGTTACCCTCATAGAGGAGCATAAGTCATCCTCCAGCATTCTCCATTGAACTCTGTCCTGGGCAATGTTTTTCACTTTTTTTTCAGTTGCTATTCATCCTTTTGATGTCTGCTTCCAATTCCCGACGCAATGTGTTCTTGGATCTCTCTCTTTTCCGTTTCTCTTCAGGATCCCAATTTAGCGCTTGCCCCACAATACAGTTTGATGATTTCCGCAATATATATCCTATTCATCTCCATCGTATTTTCCTAATTTCTTCTTCAGAAGGATGCTGATTTGTTCTCTCCCACAGTAGGCTGCTACTGATGGTATCCGGTCTACGGACATTGAGCATCTTACACAGACAATTTTTTAGAAATACTTGTAGTTTTATGATGATGGCTGTAGTAGTTCTCCAATTTTCAGCTCCATGCAGTAGAACTGTCTTGATGTTCGTATCGAATACTCTTACTTTGATGTTAGTTGATAGTTGTTTTGAGTTCCATATGTTCTTCAACCGTAGGAGTGCGACTTGCAAAACTGTAGTTAACACTATCTTAAAATGAGTGAATATCTCTTTTCCCTATATTTTTTCGTACATTGTCTCCTCATGTCGTGTTTATTGTTGGATATTGATTTTCTATGTGTATGTTGACCCACGAGTATTCTAAAATTTTATGTTGCTATCTCTCTGTTTATATATGTGTATGGGTAATGTGAATTAATTTTCTGTTATTGATGATAATTATTCTTGAATTAAATTGAATTTTCAGCCAATAGTTATCAGTACACCTTCTCATTCGCCAAATCGTGATGAAGCAACGAAAGAGCTATTTAAATCGCCTAATAAACTTGAAAATCCATTTATTTTAACAATGTTCAATGACAATAATCATCTGATTGCATCAAAATCATTCGATTCTAATAATTGCTCAATGAATTCCTCGTTATATAACCATAGTTCTGATATGTTTTGTATTATGCAAAGTGAAGAGGAAAAACAAGACGATATCGAGTCAATCTATGAAGAATTTATTCTAACTGATGGGTCATCACAACCGTCATCATTTCCTGGTACACATACTACTACTACTACTACCAATAATAATTATAACAATCATAGTAATACTGGACATCACTCAAGCGGTGTTGTGTCACCACCATCACTAACGGCTTCTACCAATACATCTAATACTGATGAACATATTTATATGGAGCCTGTTGATTGTTTAACACATGGATGTCTAGAACGATATCATATTATTTCACAAAAGTTTACAGATTTTTACACCAACTTAAGCAGTTCATCAGCTGTCGTGTCAAATAAACAAGAGTTTAGTAGTTCAACACCGTCAAGTATGTAATAGTTTTGTATCAGTTAATTTTCAAGCTTATTTTCTATTCAAAAAATCCCATGTTTAGTAGTCTTTATTAATCTTTTTTTGAATACATATTCTGTAGTTCGGAGAAGTTGATCATTTGATATGAAGACAGTACAATACTTCATATACATTTCAACCCAGTGGCGAAATATGTTAAGCATTCTAATATATTGGTTAGTGCTATACACATACAGTAGTCGTAGTCTTTGGTTGAAAATTTCGGGTGACACCACCCAAAATCTGCCACACTGGTGAATTTACTTGTTATCCTCTTGTAAATCCCGAACACTGTATTATTCTGTGATTTTTATTTACCGATTTCATTTCTAATGCTTAACTTTCTATCGTAGTTGATATTATTATTTTGTCTCTACTACTCTTCTCGTTAACTATCTATATGTCTGCTGATTAAAGGTTTTTTTTTAAAACTTGGATTGATAAACATTTTTGTCAACTTTTGCACATTACTTGTGACTGATTGGCTGATATTTTTTTATTGAACATAAAAATCTCATAAAAATATAATCGAGTAATTGGCAATAAACTTCCTGATAAAATTACTTAAAATATGTAGCAGTATGTATAAAAATCTCAAATAAAACCTTTCTATTTTACAAGGCATTGATGTGTAAGACATTTTGTTTTGAGTATACATGGGTAATAAATATATTTTCAAAATGTCAACTACTTGGTAGCTTATCACTAAATAACCTAGTTAACAAAAGGAAAATCGGATTTCTGGAGAAAATTATTCATTTGAATAACATTTTGCTGACTGTCTCAGTATTATTATGTAATGGAAACGGAGAATTAGTAAAGTTTATGACGTTTAATCACACTTTTATTGTTTCAAATCTAACATATTAGCGTTGGTGACTATTGTTGATTCTTGCCATTTCTTTATGGCTTTTCGACTAAAAGAAGCAAAAGGATTCAAAACGTTGTTTCGTTTGCTCCAAATAATTAAAAAGAATTAATTATTTTCATGTGCTGTCCTTGGTTCAGTTACTCTATTATATTCAAAGCGATTTCTCTGTCGTTTTGCACTTTATTATAACTTTTATGGGAATAAACCAGTTTAAACGACTAGTTTTTTTTCATTTTGATTTTTTTAGTTCCTTCAACTAGTATTGTTACATCTTCAAATGTATCAAATAGTTGGACAGAAAATGATGTAGGTTACAGACGTGAACGTTATCGTTCGTTTAGTACACCTGAAGGTAGCTCTTTATCTCATGATGATAATGAAACACAACACGTTGGTGGTGGTCCTTCAATTGGTTCGTCATCCAACATCGCTTTTCCAAGAAGTATTTTTCAACCTTTCTCTGGAAATCCAATCCATTTTCGTTCTGTTAGATCTAGTCACCTTAATGGATCTTCTAATACTTCACCATTGAAAACTCGTATACATAGTACGGATGCAGTTTTCGAATCATTGACACACTATAATACATCTGTTATTTCTCCAGCTTCAACCACTTTAAGTGAGGATCTTAATGAAAATGTTATAATTAGTGATAAATTTCCTAAATTCTCCACAATTCGTGCACAATCACTTCCAAATCCTCTCTCTCGTTCACATCATCATCATTTCTGGCATCATCCTAAATGTCCTCATTATCGAATTCATCGAGATTCAGAGGATAGTGGTTTAGGCACGGCATCGTCATCTTCGTCTAAAGTAGGTGATATTGTGTTTTTTCTTTTATGTAGTTATCATTATTTGAGTGGATAATTTAATAACTGCACAGAAATATATATATATATATATATATATATATATATATATATATATATATATATATATATATATATATATATATATATATGAACGTTAAATGTTTTTTTCTGAATATGGGAAATGGTCTGAGTTTTATTACGTATTATTTTTGCACTCAGATCCTCAAGATGAATGTTTCCGTATATTGTTCATCTTGTGATATTTTGATAATTTCTGTTAGATAAGACATGATTGATTTAAGGAATATAAGAATAATGACTTTCAAGTTTCAAATTTTATCGAGTAAATAGATGAATGAATGTGTAACTCGTTATATATTAACATATTACCAAATTATTTTGTCACAGACTGTTTTTCGGTTTAAGTTAATAACATTTATATCCCTATCTATTTCTCTTCTGTATATGAGCACGTTGTTATGTTGACAAAGAATTAATACATGTATCACTCAGTTAATATGGTTTATTTCATAATTTTTCCTTTATAACCACCCACCTCCGAATCCCAAATGAATTGATATCAGAACACAGAACAACTAGTAAACTGACCAAAATATATCACGAAAGCAAATGAGTACAATCTTTCTGATAATAATTTAAAGTCTGAAGTAACTAGTAATCCTTTCCTTCTGTCTGTCCATCCACGAAATCAAATCTTCTAAACTGTTTTCAACTATGACGTAGAAGACATAAATAACGATTTGTTTTAGTTTTATGAATAAAATTTGCTTAGATCCATTGGCTGTACGAGACTTCAAGTTGAACTGGTAATAAAATATAACTATTAATTATAAAGTGTATAGTTTTAATAATCCATCTATACATGATATAAGTTTTAATCTTAGAGATTTTATTTCAGCCAATAACAGATATATCATCTACTTATCGACTAATGTATCTTCATCTTTATCATGTATTTTCACGATTTATCATTTAATAAAAAAGATTGGTTCAACGAATGGGTATATTCTGTTTACTTAAAAATTTCTAATTTATTTTAGTTCCAATAAATAAACAAGTGTTGATTCAATGACTTGAAATGTACATAACTATATACAACATCGTTGTGTTGTATCAGTGTACCCAGTATTTACAAATAAGAATACTGTCCATTATATAATCCTCATGGTTTACGCCTTTATTTGAGAAAGAAATATATGTTATCACGTTACTGAAATTACTCACACATCGTCTTTCAAATAGTTGCACCAACTAATTATCTACGTAAAAATGAAATTAATCGTTGTTATTGTCTGAAATCGTATATTAATATACATCAGCATGGGGTTGCGGAGATTGTTAATTTTTTGATTGAGATCATGAATCGATCGATGTTAGATTACCGTTAAAAACTTGGAAACACTAGATGGCCGTTTCGTCCTAGTATGGGATGCTTCAGCAGTGCGCATCCATGATCCCTCACACGGGATTTGAACCCAGGACCTTCGGTCTCACATACGAACACTTAACCTCAATATGTATATACTTTTCTGTTCGGAAAACACCATTTTCTAAGTATTATTAATTAAAATTTATCACCTAGGATATTTTTATTATTTTGTATTGAAATGACGTATCACTATATAATGTTTATATGTTTCTTTCAGTAGTTATTTGATTCGAGTACCATTAATCTAAAGTAACATGTAGACTATATTGGATAAGATCTTAGAAAGGATGACTACTGAATCCAATATTAAATTAACCTTTATAACATAACTGTATTATTTAACGATCCCCTAAATTAACTTATCACGTACCAAACATTTATTTGATCCGTTCAGTAAATATTATTCTGAAGTCATCAGTGTTTTTTGAATTTTTGTGTCGGATATCTGTCCTGTTGTACTGAAAGCGTTTACTTCAGGTGTATTGCAATTTTCTAAGCATCGTTCAGTGAATCAGTAGTCCAATTATTGTACTTTTTTGAATATTTCACTGCTATTTGAGCTTTGTTTGATTGCAAAATGTCCAGACAATATTACGCTTGAGTTTATTTAAATTGTTAATTTGTTCAGTCCCCATGTTGGTGAGTTTAATATGCTTTTTGTGCATTATTAGTATATTAGGGAACTAGAGACACAATTATTTCTTAATGTATGTAAACAAAGTAGTCCAGTCACACATTAGCACTTTTCTTAGAGTTGTTTTTCTTATTTTCCTTATTGTGAATTGTGAAAATTTCTCCCCACTTGTCTATGCAAAAAGCTTTTTCGGATGAATAAGGGAATCGAATCCGGGATATTCAAATTTCATGACTAACAACATAATATGATAACATTCAAACATTGAGTCAGAATTCAACAGTCCATATTCTAAACTTTTTTTCTCAATACATCATGATTGTTATCTTTAATATCTGTGATATCTATCTCACTACGAACTTAGTTGACTCCCACGTTCCACCGATAACTATAGAAACCCTATTTTGAAGTGGATCAGTAATGACTACAAAGTTACAGTAATGATGATACGGTAAAATTTGTTGTATAAAATGTTTCAAGTAATAATTTTCATTAAATACTAGTCAGTGAAATACTTGTTTTGGATATTTATATAAATTTAAATATTTTTTGTTATTCTAGTTTGCCTTCCAATCACAATTTTCAACAGACTACAATCACATCAATTATTGTAACAAAATTTATGATACCGATACTAACAAATCTTCATCAGAATTTCTATCACCTATTAACTTATCCCAACAATTTCCGTGCAAATCTTATTCACCTCCTTACTCTTGCGCACATTTTAACTGTTCTAATAATTCTACAACATCTTACAATATTAGTAGTACACCATCGAAACCAATTTTTATTGATCCTACAGATTTTCAAACTCATCAGCCTACACAATGTTCTTTAACATTTCCATCATATAATTATCTTTCAATTAATACTACGTCAACTACTATTAATACTGATAATACTGCTGCTACTAATGCTACGCCTCATATTAGCAGTATGACTTATCGTCGCAATACATCTTATCAACCATCTCAAGCGCCATGTAATCAGAATATTTCAACATTTGCAGCTACGAAAGAATTTAAATGGCTACGTCGTAATAAACCGGTATGTAATCTATACAAGGATTTTTCAGTTCTTCATTCCCAATAGATTATCATATTCACCATGAACAATAATTGTAAAGAATTCATACATTTAAAAATTAGCAAGTAGTGCTTAATTAGTTTGTTTTTTAGAATTGGGGTCTAGTCAGAGCTTGTGGCAAATTGTCATCTGATTTCTCAACCTCAAGTGGTGTCCGTCAAGGCTGTTCTTTATCTCGATTTCTTTTCAATTTCAACATAGACCTACTGCTAAAAATAACGTCCTTATCGTTTGAATTTTCAGGGATTACTCTCCTTCCAGGAGATTCACTTATCGACTTATAATACGCAGGTGACATAGTCCTGTTTGGTGCAAATGCTGATAAAATTCAGAGTCTTCTGGTAGCACTAAGCAACAATGCCAGAATGTTTGGAATGCGCTTCTCTCCCTCTAAATGCAAGTTGTTGCTTCAGGACTGGTCTGCAGCAACACCTGAACTAAGGATAGGGAGTGAAGCAGTCGAACGCGCTGACAACTTCACTTATCTTGGAAGTTTGATCAGCCCTAATGGGTTGGTGTATGACGAAATCTCAGCACGGATTCGATAAGCTCGCTTGGCTTTTGCCAAATTACGTCACCTATGACGAAGGCGAGATATCCATCTATCAATAAAAGGACGAGTGTACTGCGCGGCAGTTCGTTTTCTTCTACTTTACGGCTGCGAAACACGGTTGTTAAGGGTAGAGGACACTCGTGAGTTACTAATATTTGATCACAGATGTCTTAGGAATATAGCCAGCATCTGCTGGGATCACCGGGTAAGTAATAGTGAAGTTAGACACAGGGTATTAGAAAATGATGGTGAATCAGTTGATGAGATTGTGGATCTTCGACGACTGCAGTGGTTGGGCCACGTATTACTCAAGCGCAACCACCGTCTACGATGTTGCGCAATGCTGACTAGTGTTGGAGACGGATGGAAGAAAGTTAGGGGTGACCAAAGCAAAACGTGGCATCAGTGCTTGAAGTCACTAGTCTGAGCCATGATGGGAGATGCAGACTACTTGGTTGGGGTCCGCGCGACTATCGTAACCAATGGTTGGAGACTCTGAGTGACATGGTTCAGAATCGATCACAATGGCGTAGGTGTATAGATTCTTTTTCTTCCCTTAAACCGTGGGAATAAAATTGCTTCATACCTTTATTTGTACGAACTAATTCTTTCTCCCTGTATCATATTTTTATATTCGATCTTTCTTTTATATATTAATACTATTGAAATAACTAGTTCTATGAATTTGGTGTTCGTCTTGTTGTGCTAATGAGGTGTGGCAACTTGAACCGATGTATATATGAGCCTGTTCCTACGTTGTAGCTGACTAACTTTTTAGAATTCGAGTCTTATCACCAGTAGTCCTCACAATCGATATCATTTAAGAAAAGGAAAGTTCAGTGCATTTTAGGTCTTCTGGTGGACACCTGGCTGTTTCTTGATTATCATTAAAAAAATATCATGTTTAATATAATCCAGTTGAAATAAAATCATGAAATTTTCCTTACTCAATCTTAGTATGTTCTATATAGTATACCCCAGAACGGAAACAGAAAATTAATGACTGAAACGCTTCACTGTCAACCTTTCTGTTATTGGTTCTAACTTTGTTCGACCAACAGATTGGTATTGTTAGGCTTTAAATAAATTATATAACTCAGAGTCTTATGTGCAGACGTTCACATGATTATTGAGTTGTACTAAAGCTAGAGAAATATTTTTGAAATAGGTGTTTGGTGATGATTTTGAAACTACCATAAACTAGTTTTATCCAACTTACTCTGATTTTCCGATGAACTTCATTGAAAATAATTAACTCCATACTTTTCAAAGGATAATACATCTTATATCATCCTTCAGTCAATCAAAACGTATAGCCTGTACGTATGTACATCAATAGAAGTTACCATACCCCATTAGCACATCGAGATGAAATTGTCAGTTCAAATCCTAGAATAGTAGATGTAGTGACAGTATCAGTGATAATAGTAAAGACTGGGCACCGATGATACGACTCGAAAAGAAAGTATAAGTTGGCGAGATCAATACAAAAAAAGTTATACGGAATTTAAAATCTCAGGATTTGGTAGAAGACAAAGAATAGATGTACCTATGCCATTGCAAACGATTTTGAGCCATGCCATTCAAAGTTTCTAACCATTGGTTACGATAATCACGCGGACCGCAACCAGGTAGTCTGTACTTAATAACATATCAGTGACTTCATAGACTAATTCCATATTTTAGTTTGGCCGACCTTAGCTTCTTGAAAGCCTGCATCTGCACCCAAATACATAGCTCATCGAGGCAGGCGTTGGTTGGGCACGTGCAACATATGTCCCGACTACCTCAGTTGATGAAAATTTCTCACCTCACTAATCGGTTTACCATACTTACCTAGTACTCTATTCCTAACCCAGTCGCTGCTTACTATGTAGTCCCTGCAATTCTCCTGTGTGGTTTCATCCTATATAAACTATTCTTTGAATACCCCTAAGATCGAATGCTGACAACTTAACCTTGTCGTTTAGAGTTACTATGTCGTACATCCTTACAACTACGCAAAATAGTACGTGTTATAAATACACGTAATAACATATATCATTGGATTCCCTAAACTCTTTATACATTTATATTGAGTCTTGAAGCAATCCCATAGGTCTATTAATGACTATATCTTTCTGTTATGTAGAATTCCTTAACTTTGAAGTCGTAGTTTTATTTCTGTATAATTATAGTTTATTCTGATATCAATTATTTTATATGGATTTTACTACAAAGTTGACGATTTAAAGAATGTTAGTAGTAGGTAGCAAGATGAATTAAATTACATCCTTTGTACGCACATCATGGATACAACAAAATATAAAAATATTAGGTATAGTCACATCAAATATCCATCCTATTTATTTAATGATTGAATGCGCTAATCATTAAGTCATAGCCCAATTACTCGTTGCATTTTACAAGCAATCTATCTGTTTGTCGACGTTTTTTCTTATACATTATTCTTGTACTGTTTTGTATTGTCAGTTGAAATTTTTCGGGCATCGTTTTTCATTGGAAACCCAACCAAATCCATCTCCACCTACAACGCCAGCTCCACCTGTACCACAAACTGCTCCTCCTCCGCCTCCATCTGAATCTTATCTTTTCCCTTTTATTACACCAAAGAATTCTATGTCGACGATGAACAACTGCAGTTCAACAGTACATAGTAAATCTAACTTATCAGGCAATAATAATTTGTCAGGATCTTTGTGTTTTGAAACGCAACAATTACCTGTAAGTACTTTTTTAAGTATGCAGTATTTTTCTGTATGTTTAATATATCTTAATCTAAAGAATGTTTCTTTTTTGAATCAGTGTTGCAGAACAGTATTACGAATTTGTTTTCTGTTGATCGGTATTGCATCTTGAGGACCCGACGACCGGAGTTTTTTTTTTCGTGGTTAAATATTTTCAATGAAGTTTCATGAATGTATGGACACTAATTAAAACCCAGTATTTTCATAAGTGTTTGTATCGTGCAAACTTAGTCAAGTATTATTTGAGATTATAAATTTTTGTCACTTTTACAGGATATCACGTTCGTTAAATAAAATTACTGTTGTCACTTGTTCTGACTATTTATTATTACACCTGTTTAAAGTTATTCTAGTTTCTGGACAGATAAATCATTCTGATCTTTTCGATATTCTACACACTTTCACATATTCAACCTTATCAATTATACACTTGGATCCTCGAGTGTTTTCAAATGTATGCGTGTACGTCTATCGCCTTATCCGGATTTTGTATGCCGTGTATTTTCACGTATGAGACGATTCATATTTCATCATCGTCATCCTGGGAGTCAATTTAATAGCTATAAATTGATATTTTATGTAAAGAACAGAAGTTACCCCATCGTAGATGGTACCTTGACGCAGTGGTAGAGGTTGCCTATCGCAATGTCCCACTCGAATTATATAGGCTGGAACACTTATCCATTTATATTTTAAAATAACGTTCAGGTTTTTTAGGTAGCGGTAAAACTAAAAGCAACAAACTCATGTTCCGGGAGCAAGGGTATGACGACATTAAGGTGTTTTCGTCAAGTAAGTTTTCAAAACGGCACTTCTTTCTCACAGCGGTTGTTGGGGATTAAAAAAGGCCCATCCTTGAGGTCACACACCTCAATTTGTCTAGTAGATCTCTGTTTTCTACAGTAAGGTCTTAGAAGTGTAGATTTAGTGCATCAAAAACCACTCATAAAAAGCCTATGTATAACCGAGCTTGAGCAGTTGTTGCTTGGGTTCTGTGGCCCATCTCAACTCAGTTCATGGAATTCTATATTAGGTTTTCCGAAACTGCGCACCACGCTACATGTTGGAGACTCCAATATCCCAATCGTATGTCATATCAGACAACAGGTGATGAAAGAAAACAAGATGGAAAAAGGCCTCTGCAATTGTCTAGGAAATAAGTATAAAAAATCAGCTGTTAGTGAAACTATTTCAGAAGAGAAGACGGGACCACTTTTTGCTTTTAATCCAAGGGCTTAGACCGATGGGGTGAGCACTATGAGGAACAGTTCAATTTCCCTTCGGCTACCTTTCAGTTACCTACTATCATGAAAAAAACCTAAATAGCAAAATCAAAGAAGTCGTCCAATTCTTGTTGAGGCTAAAAAGGCTTAAAACATAAAACCCTGATGGACTAAATCTGAAGATTCTCTAAAATGGTAGTCCAGTATAAGCAGTTAGATAAACTGAGCTATTAGCAAAGGTTTGGGAGCTAGTTATAATTCCGTCTGATTGGTCTCAGCTGATGATCATTCTAGTTTGTAAAAAGGACAGAAAACGTCTTATGATAAACGTAGAGGAATCAGTTTGGCTAGCATGGTATCTAAAATACTAACCTTCGTAATCATTCAACGCTTTCAAACCCTTAAAACATGTAAAACTGGGTTAATTCCAGGTTTAAATGGGGATGTTTCGATCAAATGTTCGCCCTTCGTCATGTGGAACACATATATTCCAATATTCGATAATAATGCCATTTTTTGACCTAAAAGTAAGATTCAACTTCCTCAACCGAATGGTTTTGTGACAGTTTTTCACTGAAGTGTGTACCGTGAAAGTAAAGAAGACTTGTGACGGCCGTCTACTCGCACACAATTGATCCTCTCAGATCTTGAGGCTTTGAAACGTTGCCTATGACAGTAACAGATATGCGCTGACTGCACGTTTTTAGTCAGTGGTGTCTCAAAAACTCATATGTCTGAACTGCCGAATGAGCAGGTTAGGAGTTGTGGTTATAAATCTTCATCGACTGAGGTAGTTAGGACGTGTGTTTCATGTCGCTAACCATCATTTACCTCGACTAGCTATGTTTGCTGGCGAAGAAGTAGGTTGGAAGAAAGCTGGAGGTGGCTAAACTAAGACATGGGATCAGTCCATAAAGTCATTGGCTGATGAGTTGAGCGATGTTGGTAGATCCAGACTACTTGGTCGGGGTCCTTTCCATCATCGTACACAACGGTTGGAGATGTTGGTTGACATGGCTCATTGTCGGTCACAATAACAGAGATACATTCAATCTTTAACGTCCCTTAGTTTGTGCGTTCCAAATTTTTTTTAGACCTTTTACTGTCTGAATTCATTATTTTTTCTCAAACTATATTCTCTATCGTATTTTTTACTTCCACATTGGCAATCATCTCATTGTGCTAATGCGGTGTGTGAACTTGGGTTAGTTCACATTTGTGACGGGTTCTATGTTGACTTTGACTGATTGACTGACTGCATATATTATATGCAAATGCGATAAACTTATTACGTATCTCGGTTAAAGATTTCTTTCTAATTTATTACTTTTGTAAATAATCACAAATGATAAAGCACGATTTACGTGGATCTTCATGTTCTTAGAGGGATAACTACTGAAAGATAGAAATAGCCTATGTAGAATATTTGGCTTTTGTGTATTTGATTTTATACATTTAGTTTCCTTTATTATCTTGAAGACAAGAAGAACGAAGAATTGAGCAGAACATGAATCTATTTAATTTCGTAAAGTTCTCATCAACTGCTTACAGCCTATAATATTTAAGCCAAAGAATCAAAATTATTGTAATTATAACATTAAAACTGGTTATGTATGATCATAGTAGAGCAATGCTCGTGAGGACACATAAAGATTTGTCGTAAATAAGTATAATGTATGGAAGAAGATTCTGGATTATCAAACATAGTAACAAGAGGTAAAATAAATTACGAATAACATAAGCTGAGATCACTCAATTAAAAAAAGGAATAAAGTTATGAAGTTAAAAGAAGTAATGCGATTAAAACAAAAGAAAGGGATGACGAAAAAATAATTGAAAAAGTGATGTTATAAACTGACGATTAAGTCAACGTAGTAAGGAAAGATTTACAACAATTTTTTAATACATAAGTTCATCTTGAGTCATTTGATGGTTATGACTTCGGTGAATTTGCGAAGAATGGAATTTAACTGTCGGTTAATGACGCTGAAAGATTTCAGTCTATCAACATGATGCTCTGTGTCACAGAGGTGTTTTGTTATGGCACTTCAAAGCCCTTAATCCCATTGACCTTGGGATTTTTGTTATACGTTCTTGGGATCGAGCGTAGGTCTTTCTTCCTGTTCTACCAATATAACTGCTTTGGTTTGTAAGCTGCTGATGAGAACTTCATAAAATAAAATGAATTCATGTTATTTTACTTCATTATTTGCAATTGCATGATAAACGATCATAATGTGGTTTGCGCTACTTATGCGGACAAATATAAGTAGCTTGTGACAGGAATAGGAATTCGAATACTTACCAGCAGAAGATTGAAATGAAAAGGATAGAAAGGAAAACGGAGAGCAATCGGAATAACAACTGGATCAAAGAATATTGAAGCATGTAAAGGATAATTAAAGGAGGATATACAAATGATGTATTTACTGTATGATTTTCATGATTTACATAGGCACTGTTTGATTTTCCATTAAATCATAAATTGGTTTTTTTCCAATTAAGTCTTCGTTCACTACAATAATAACTATTTGAATATTTTCTAATCAAAGTTACATATTACTTCATTTATAATGTTCATCTAGTAATTTTGGGTCAGCTGAATATCAGTATGATATTTACCTTATGGTTTCTCATAAAATGTCGGCATTTTAATTGACTGCTAAGTGTAAAAAATATCATAGTTTAACATTTAACGTTGAATAAGTGGGTTTAGTTTTATTATTTAGCAAATCAATCACATATCTCATTCAATATACTTTCTATTAGTCAATAACTTCGAATGGATCAGGTTTTTCCTGAAGCTATTTTGAATTTGACAAATAACACTTAATACATATTAAACTGCTTAGTTTCAAACTTAAATTTTCACACGTAACTACTTGTGATAATTAACCGGTTATATGGACTTTGAATTACTATCATCAAAGATACATTGCCAACTTGATCTACCACTACTTATTTCGCATTGATTTTATAGTTAGAGATAGATGATGGCTTGGAAATGTATCCAGGATGCGCGTTTCGTCCTGCTTCGGACTCGTCAGCTGAATGCACCTGTGCCCCAAAGGTAATGTTCTTTCAGGGACTCAAACCGAGTGGCGTTCGCTTCAAACAACTTAGCGTTATCCACTTAGCTACTGAGTCCAGATGGCCACTAGCTTATGCATTGGAGTGAAGTCTAATCCATTTGTATTGGTCGTTTAGATCTTCCCATTTATAATTAAAACTGCAATCGAAGCAATCCACTCAGAATACATATATACAATCTTAAACATCAATGAGAAAATTCAAACAACCATTACATATGGATTTTATAGTTAATTTAAAAACCTATATATTATTGTACAGACTTGACGCAGTAATTGAAACGAAACATTTCTTCTCCTAATTTATAGTTTTAGTGTCTTAATGAGAATATTTGATAAAATATAGGAGAAAAATTGTGATACTCAAACAGATAGCTGATATTTAGAGATATGGATCTAGTTATTATTTTTAGAAGCCTGTTGTGATTTATTTGAATTTAATCCTACAAAACGTGTGTCGTTTAGTGGATTTATCGATGTTGACATTATACATTTTGTTTTAGAATAATATCTTCACGGGTACAAAAATTTCATGTATTAATAATAATTACTTGACTTCCCATTAACTCTGTGAAATGATGAGCTAACGGTTAACGCATTTGGTTTCAATTAATAAGTTATGGATTCATACCACTTCTCTCTCTTTAGTTACTTCTGCTTGAACAGTATCATGATTGTCACACTGTTACCCTTCACGTGAGCAACATGGCTTCCGAGCCCAGTAAATAGATTTGTACTTAGTAAATAATTTACATTGGTATATTTTAAGCGTTTGTATCAGCATTCAGTGGTTCTCCTATCAATGTATGTCCTAAAATTTGATTCTTTGAGATTTATTTTGAGTACACGTATTACATTTGATATATGCATTAGAGTTACTTGTTGGCTAAACTTTCTAAATTATTAGTTAACTGATTGCGTATTCCACCTACTATTTATACAAATAAGATTAATCAAAATAGAAGACGAAGTGAACAAAAACACCACCTGGTAGAATAGGTAACGTGATTTCATTCATCAGCTGATTTCAGTTCATCGGAAGTTTTCATGTTCTGAACCTTAATATTTGATTTTTCTTAAAAACTAATCAGTTACATCATATTTGTTAATAGCTGAACTGAAACACACAGTGTTTCTTGTAATTTTCCAATATGAGGTTTTGCAGGTTGAATGTTTTCGGGATCAGGAACTAATCTAAGTTAGATAACCATTGAAAACCTAACAGTACTGGACGGCCGTCTCATCTTCGGATGAGACTCCTCAGCAGTGCTCAGGTACAATTCCACAAGCGGGAATCGAACCCAGGACCTCCGGTCCCAAGCAAACATTCACGCTCTAGACTTACTGAGCCGAAATCAAATGGTGTAAAAGCCTAACTTCAGTCAATCCACGATATTGTATAGTCATCTTTCGTTGCGTTTGGTGAGTGCTTTCTTGATTAGTTAGAATACTTCATTTTTAACAACATAAGGTTGCCTCAACTAGATGGTTTGATCATGAAGTTTTCATTGTTGTTCTGGTCAACAGTATTATCATCAACACTTGGAGTTCAACACCAGCGGAAGCATTCATCTAAATGAAACAAAATATTATTATGTAACAGTTGAATCTAGCTACAAAAAATCACAAGTAGTTTTCATCAACTCATATAACCATTGAAAACGATAAGAAGCTGGATAAACTACGCAAACTTTTTATTCATGAAAAGTACATTATTAGACTTGAGATTTTGACTTTAATACATCATTCAAAAAGATAGTAAAATAATAGACAGGAAACCAGAAGCAGGGCATACAAAAAATAATTGTATTGTTGCCAGTGTGAAAGAGATTTCTTTGTTTTAGCATCCCTTACGTTTTAATATTACAGTAAGTATGCATATATCTTTTCACTCTTTTCTATGCTTTACTACCAATAATATTTAGTAAAAAAACGTAGCAATCCTCACTGTACTTCTATCATATCATGAGTACTTTGCTAGGAAATCGCAATCATGATTGTAGGTGCTTTTTCATTACTCCAATACTAAACGACGTTGAGCATAGATGAACAGTTAACTTGATACATATGCACCATCAAAAAGATAATGATTTTCCTCAGTATATATCCACTACCTTTTGATAATAATTAATACCTGAGGTTAATAAGCTTTAGTAGTCAATGTAGAAGAATGCTAAAATGAATTAAAACTTCATTATAAAATATCAGTAATCATCTAACTAGGACATTATTGATCAGCAAATCGTTTTCTTCGAGACTCGTGGAAAAATGGAGACTTATTAGGTGTTGAATCAAATGTATTCGTACATATGTGGTAATTATATATATTTATATTCAACTCTCATACAGTAACTGTGGCTTAGCTTATTAACATCCACTTGCTCTCTGATATTTACATTAACAGGACTTATCACATTTGAATAAATATTCATTCCAGTCAGATATAAGCAAACATTAGGCAGTTAGATTTGAAGATTTGGCCGCCTAAAATAAATACAGGGACAAATCATTCGTCTTAACAGGTGCTTCAGTTATGTGTCTTATGGACTGCTTTATTTTCTATTCTTTGCTAGTAAGACAATGACTTGATGGCTTTAATAATCAAGTCTTTAGTCGAAAGTACATATTCTATCCTATACAAATAATTTTGTAGCAGGAGAATAGTTTGTCAATCTGACAATAATTTTTTATCGTTCATAAAATATAATTTGAAGTTCTTAAGACAAAAATATTCATTTACTAGATAACTGTTATAGAGTTCATATCACTAAGACTATACAGCAAACTTATCTGTATATCATACTGCTATGTGTTAACGTCATTATCGTGAACAAATTAAGTATTTAAAAAAGTATAGAATTATAGGTCGGTTACTACTATGGTATACTAGTTTTTTGGTGAGACTATAATTTATGGATGACTTTTAAGCGGCGCCTTAGTGACCTTGAGAGTATCCACAACTTGGATCAAATGAAGGTTATCAGCCAGTGTGAGGAATTAGAATTATGAATTTCGCGCCAAAATCCAAAACCTGCTATCTTATACCTGATTGTCAGTCAGCTACAACGTAGGACCAGGCACATATGTGCATCGGTCCAGGTTGCCATACCGCATCAGCACAACGAGATGAACACCGGATTCATAGCAGTGGTTAGGTCAAAGGTGGTAATATATAAGAGAAAGATTGCCTATAGAGATATAGTACAAGAAGAAAGAATTGGTTCGTAGAAAGAAAGATATGAAGTGATTTTAATCTCTTAGCTTAAGGGAAGACAGGGAGTGTATACACCGACGCCATTGTGATCGATTCTGAGCCATGTCACCAAGAGTCTCCAACCATTGGTTACGAAAGTCACGCGGACCTGATTGGTTCGTCCATAAATTATAATCTCGCCGTTTTTTTTAAAATACCGATCGTACTCTATAGTCATAATATAACATCAAGTTGGTTTATGATAAATAATCATATGTTTTTATATTTTTTGTAGAGAATATTTTTATTCTAACTTTTCTATCTAAAATATTCATCACTTTTATCTCTTCATTTCGGATAATAAAGCAATTGATTTCTTCTACGTTATGGGATGAAGGTGGGGAATGCTAAGCATTTTTATCCGTTACTCATTATTATAATGGAGTAGCTTAGGAAATAGTTCAAGCACTACAATCTAAGCGTTTTTCTACAACCAATATGACTAAATATGCTTGTAGTGTAGCGCTTTTTCAGCCTGTTGTTTATTATTATTTGAGTTTTTTTGTTGTAAAAATTAACCTTTACTTCTTATAAATTTTAGGTTACTTGTTATCAGTCGTCAGTACGAAATATGACTGGTTTCTCATTGTTTGTGAATAACAGTAGTAACAACACCTTGAAATCTGTATTTTTTAATCATCATAATAATACAAAAACAACAACAACAACTTCTACCATTGTATCATCATTCAGACATCAATAGAAATTGATATTCATCGAATTTGTGATTGGAATATATTTACCTCCCTTGTATTAATACTATATCTTTTGTATTAACAGTTTATTATTATATTCAATGTTATGTTCCTTTTACAAGTTATTTTCTAGTCATAAAACAATCAAGATTGTTATCTATAACGAAATGATACAACAAATATATCATTCGTTCGCATTCATGATGATAATATTCTCTATTGAATCACTTTCTATGCTGTAAGTTCATAGATATTATCAAATATTTTTTAAGTAGATTATGTTACCTTTTTATGTTAATGAAGTATAACTGGGATCTTTTAGGATAAGACAAACTTCTTCAAGGTGATAAGTGGTGTTTTAATCCGGCAAGACTGTTCTTTTTGTTTAGTTATTTTCTAAAAGTTACAATCTTGATGGGTTAGTTTGCATATATACTCAACAGACCATATATATCAGTTTAATCCTCTCTTAGTCAAATGATTGAATGGAATAACTCGTTACTCATCTAAACAATATTCTTTGATTAGGCTTCATATATGCTGAGATAATAAACTTTCTACACTCGTGTTTTTGTGTATTCGTCATTGATTGATGTAAACTTGAAAAGCATTTTAAATCACTAAACTTTAGCATAAAAGGCTACATGTAACCGTCCACATCAGTTTATTAATTTTCAAATACCTAATACATACAATACACTCAATTTCAAAGTTATATGATTATAATGGCAGACGGATTGAAAGAAATTTATCGATCTAATCAATGCACATAAAGGTCATTCAAAACGTTTTATCGATTGAAAGTTTAGTGTTGCACGTTGGTTTATTTACTTTGGATAATGTAATCGTCCAAGTAGGTCGCAAATTTATATATAAGTAAGAGAATCCACTAGTTGTCTGCTCGATATATTTCATCACTAAATGACAATAGCTCAGAAACCTTGGAGAAATAATTTAGTGTAACATAGTTGTTTAGCTGAGTAAAGCGTACGGTATAGGTTATATTTCATTAGTTCCTTTTCGGTATCATTTTTTTATGGTAGCAAAGAATTGCTGATACCAATGGTACAACACTATCATTTTTACATCCTTCAGTCCTGTTTTTAAATAAAATTGCTATGTTTGTTAAACACCTAGAAAATCTCGTAACTAACCATTCATCTACCATAAACCATCAGGTTTGTGAGAGGAAAATAAAAATCTGCTACTATAATCTAATTTGTGTTTTTTCAAACCAGAAAACAACATTGCTCACTGTCCCGCTGTGATAAGTGATCGTTTAAAGTGGGTGACATGTATGCAACCACAGATATTCTCCAGATAGTTTGTTTATCAAGAGACTACTGAATAATCAGTGTTAAAACTAGTTTTTTTCAAGTGAGTTTATTCTTATCGACAGTGAAGGATCGCAAACAGTAGCTTGCTTAGTTATAGAAAGTCGGTGAATACAATCAATTTATCTCGCAAAATTGATACACCTTACTATAAGTGTATTCAATCTTCCTAGAGCCTTTTGATTTCTCCGATAAATCATTTTTTTGGTTGATGTATTGGTCTACTTGGATTGTAACCAGTCCTAGTTTAACTGTTTTCACGTTTAACATGCTCATTTCTGCTTTACTTGAATCTTCTTTTCAGAGAAACATTCATTGGATTGAAAAAAGAAATAAACACTGAGCACAAAAGAGATATGCAAAATGAAATATTCTTATTTCCTAGACCTGACATTATTCATCATCACTAATATGACTTCTCTTTTGACAATATATACATACCCTACCTTCATAAATCGATTAGTTCTTTCTACTAGTTTTACTGTTATAAATCTTTGTAAAATAGACTATTACTTGTGTTAATTATAATCGCAGCAATAATTAACATTTTTATTATCATTGTTGTTGTTATGTAACATTGAAAGATATCTACTGTTGCCATTTTTGCTTGAGGGTGGGGAGATTCTTCCATTTACTTCCAACATTCAGTTTATTGTGCAGTTCTATTGATTTGTTATTATATTTTGCTGACATTGCTTCAGAACTATTTTTTTAAACTCTTGTTCAATGCCAATTTGTTTTTAGATATCTCATAGGCATTTACTATCATCATCATCACCGTCATAATTATTATTATATCATCATTTATTTATTTAACACAGCGTTTCTGTTTGTTTATTTGTCACATTGTAATTTCTCTTTTTTTTGTTTTATCTCTGTGAACTGAAATCTATTTGAACAATGTAGTGTCAATGGTAATTATATATTTGTAATTTTTATCCCAGGTAATTCTCTCCATATACAATGTAAAGATACCGTTCCTTTTCCCTGTTTTCTTTGTTCATTATTTCTAGTCATTGTATATCAGTATTGTTATCATTATTATCATCATCGACACTGTTTATTTGTTTTTTATAAATAAATAATAAAATTATTTGAAAAATTGTTGTAAGCTACCAATCACCCTTTTTTCTCTGTTTTATTTATTCTCATCTCTTTTGTTGTTGGTGGCTAACATACAACAAAATAGAGCCAAGAAAACTATGTCGTTTAATTTCTAAGGTAATGGAAGTTTCGAACCAATTAATTAAAACTAATGATCAGTATTTTATCGCGTTGACCATGTTTTCACTTAATTCGATGTTTACCGCCAAGCAGTTTATAAATTTTCAGTGTCCATTTAATAACACCTTTTTAAGAAAATGAAAACTAGTTAAGCAATATGATATTATTAAAAGTAGGATGTAAAAACGTACTAAATATATGTTTTACGGACTTAAATTAAATGATATGACTAAACGATCTTTTCTCCTATTTGGTGACAGCACGCAATAGTTATTCCTTATAGCTTGAAATTACGGGTCAAATACGTAGAAAACACTAAATGTATAAAATATATTTGGAAAAATGATGGGTTAAGGTATAAATAATTGCAACATTTCTCCCAGCAACCTGGTTCAAATCTTAAGGAAATTTTGGGAATTTCTATTTGTCGTGATTTGAAATGGATACTGTGGGAGAGAAACAACTGTGAGGAATATGCCATTCATTTTACGTCAATACTGGCCAATAAATGTGAACAAGTATTGGTCAAAAATGGAATAACAATGCCCTAAGCAACTCTAATGTTATGAAGTCTAGGTATTAGCAAATAACCAATGGGATGTATCTCTCATTTGTTTCGCTCTAACGACGACTAACGTATGAGCGTCAATCAGCGGAACTTCGATACAATTAAGCATGGCTCAGTAGTTTTAGTGCACATACAACACTTGCAAACGTCAAACTAAGTTACAGATATCCTCCATCTCAATATCATGTACATAATTTACGGAAGTAATTGTCAGCAATACGATTAGTGTGATGTTAATTTGAATTACGAGGTGATATCAACTGTAAAGCCCATTGAGAATCAAGAAGTATCATACAGCCGTCTGAGTACATGAATTGTTAATGAGTCACGAATTGAAACGCAACAGCTGTCACATTGCCATTTGAGCGTGAGAATATGTCATTACAAACAATTCACACATTTTTGTTAGAATAAATTTGACCTAGTATTGTTTCTAAACAAAACTCGATTTAAGACAATGTATAAATAAGTTCTATTTAAATGTAACACAAATATTCTTTTATTAGAAAGAAAAAGCAGGTTTTTAGTCGGGAGTTAAAGATGTCATCTTTAATTTATTAATTTCTCTAGCGACTTTATGAGCAACCGGTGGTCCCTGATAAACAAAACTTGTATATAACTGTACTAAGCTAGCACCGGCATTTAACTTGGACAATGCATCTTCACCGCAGCTGATACCACCAACACCGATCAGGGGTATAGCACCTTTGGTTAATGCAGAAACTTTCCTTAAACAATCTGTTGATTTTTCAAATAATGGTCGACCGCTTAAGCCACCATATACAACATTTTGTTCATTGTTCCCTGGTATTGGAGCAGCACCGCAAGCTACAGCCTCTTCATAAGTTGCAAGTGTTGTGTTTGAAATGATCATTCCATCTATTCGAGTCTATAAATTGAAAAGAGGTGTACTGTTAACTAAGGATGAATTAAATGATATGGAAACAACCTAAGTCATTATTAGTAGGTTTATGTACTCGCTTTTGAGTCATAATTTGTAGACAAGGAGCATGGTTCGAACCAGCGTGCAACTCAATGGTTTACAATTACTAAATATCAATGGTAGTTTCTTCTACAATCGATTTATAAGACGATGTTAGTTTATTAACCTTCCGTTAGATTTATGCTCATCATGTTTTGCGTACATTAATTGTTTGAAATCATTCACACAGATTGTTGCTGGAAAAAGAGTTGTTAAAGCACACCAATTAAAATGAAATTGAGTAAAAGACAAAATAAATGCAAAAATTAAAGTATTCTCATCATTTTATCCATCATCCAGGTAATTGTTACTAACAAGACAGATTTTCAATCCAACCACAAACATTTACTTTTCATAAATATCAATAAAAATAAGTGTTTTTGGAGGTGCTACGCTCTCTATAATGGACGGTTTAATTGTATTTACAGAAAGATAAAGAATCGATTCATTTTTACCACTGCAATCAATTCTGATTCATGTTTTAACAACAGAACAGAAATACAACACGAACCCTAATCAGGAAGTTTGCGCTTCTCTACACAGGTCAAATCGAAAGTCAGTGAATTCATAAACTTATGCCAAATTGCAGATTCATCATATTTACCTATTTTCCAATCTACCATAACCCAAACTAACATAACTCGTGAGGAAGAGCAATGATTGATCATTATTCAGATTCATAACCGTTATGAATAACTTTGAGTTTGATGACCACGAATTATCTATGAATTAATCACGTAACTATAAAGGTAATAAGAGATACATATTGAATGTTTTGAAGAGTACTTTGGGGTGGAAGTGACTGAGAGAGTTTACTTTGAGTTCCATTAATCAATAAATAATAATAGTAATGACTATGGGTGATGGTATGCATATTGTATAACGGTCAATAATACTAACCAATAAATCCGAATAAAAAGGCGAGTTCACGTTTTCTCTAACTCGATATAACATTTTATGACATTAGTTTTATTTGCAGTGTAATATCCTAGTCGGCATGATAACCGCTTCATCTTTTCCAGTGTAACATTATTTCTGGTTAATATGTTTGTATTAGTGTAATAAGTGTGAAATTTTGCCCAGTATGACAGTTATATTCTTTGTATTGCCGTCAGTTAACTTTTTTTGTATTTTGTAGTAACTCTGTATCGTTTCATTCATATGACGTTTATCGACTAATCAACAGGCGAATGGTAAAATCAGTATGTAAATGAGTGTATTTGGTTTAACGATAACAGTTTCGGACAATCTGTTTAAGGTTCTCGTTTTAGAAAGTCCATAAGCCTTCATCTGTATCAGTTTTTGTGTTATCGCTTCACATTATGGAAATTACAGTGGTTCCCAACTGTCAAGTATAGGTAGGAAGACCCCAGATACATCAGAAACTATACAAACATAACACTAACCGTCAATAATCAAATTAAAAGTAGCTTTGATGAACGGTTTATTGACTGAAAATTAAGTATCAGTATAGGGTTGTGGAAATTATTAAGTTTTTGACTGAGATCTTGAACCGATTGACGTTAAACCACCATTGAAAACCTGGAAGCACTGGACAGCCTTTTTGTCCAATTGTGCGACTCCTCAGCAGTGCGCATTCACGATCCCGCTCACGGGATTCGAACCTAGGGCCTTCAGTCTTGCGCGCACTGCTGAGTCCCACAATAAGATGAAACAGCCGTCTAGTGCTTTTAGGTTCTCAATGATGGTCTGACATCAATCGGTTCAAGATCTCAATGAAAGTTAAGTACCTAAACTATTGAATTAAAACTTCCCCGTTAACTTTTAAAAAATTCATACAAATTGATATGCAGTAATGAAAATAAAATATTATTGTTCATTGAGCGTGGAGCAATAGGCATTTAGTCCAATTAACTATCAAATATATGATTTCCCTTCCTGTCATTAATATCTACTCTGGATTGGCTGACAATGACTGTTTGTAATTGTATTGAATAAAGTGTTAATCTAGTTCTTTATTCGGTATACAGCCTCTGCCAGAGAAGTCCTACTCACTGCCTTTTCGTGGCGGGGGTGTTGTTTACGAAAATGAGAGGACGGAAAGTGAATGTTCGGCGCTTTAACCGGATCCAAAACCAATGGTGCACATGGGCTCCAGTATCCTGCGAGAACAAATGGCGTATGAACCAATTTTCGGTTGCCGGCTCCCATGGGACTACATCTCCTCACGATGCTCCAATGCCTTGTAGATCAGACCTTTAGGTCAAAGGCTAAGGGTATGGCCCCCTAAGAAAACCACCTGCTTCAGTCTGGGCACCCGGGCAGTATCACAGCCCACACACATAGACAAAAATATGGTGTGGCGCATATATATTTGGTGCCCTCTTGTACCAATATTTATGTGTTCAAATAAAATAAAATAAAAATCTTTATTCTGAGTAATAAATCCTGATTCCGGTATAATGTAACTAGTCTTATTATCGTATTAACGTCTTATCGTAATATACTACAGAGATAGTGGGATATATATAGAGAGAAAATATTTTAAACAATCCATTATATCATAAATATTCCATGGAACTTGAATAATAAATCACATATTGTATATAAATGAATTTATTTACTAGTTTATAATGGAATGAAAACCTTTTGTTTTTTTGTTTTTTGAAAAACAAAATATGTTAGTACATTGTAATTAGACAAGTTTTTCATCTTCATAAGTTTATATAAACATTTTTCATAATTCTCAGTGTATTAATGATGATGATTTCAATGGAAAATGTTTAGTATAATTTACCTGGAGTTAGATTTTATAGTTTTATCATCATTGGATCTCTTAAACTATTTCATTATATCACCTTAAATATTAGAATTAAAAACAAGTGAATTATATATTTTATATAAATATTCTTACTTTCGAATCCAAAGCAACTTCTACTATATCTTTTAAACTTTGATCATTTTCATCTGGAGAAATTTTTAATAAAATAGGAGTTTTTTTCAATAATTGATTTCGAGCTGATAAAACCTATGAAAAGATCATTTTTATTTATTAAGTAACATATTCAAGATATTAAGTAGCATAACTATTGAATAAATCTGGTTATAATTCCATAATATATGCGATTTAACAGAAACCTTTTTTTTTAAAAAAAACATACTATTTTATTTTCAGAAGGGGTTTTGTGAAGATTTTTTTTAGAAATCTCACTGGTTAAAATCATGAGTCAATTAAAGCTAGACCATCATGGGAAACCTGGAATCACTGGACGGCCGTTTCGTTCTAGTATGGGACTCCTAAGCAGTGCGCATCCACGACCTCGCCCCCTGCGAGATTCAAACCCACGACCTACTGGTTTCGCGCGCGAGCACATAACCACTAGACCACTGAGCTAGCATCCAACGGTGTTAATGTCTAACTTCAACCAATCCACGAAGTTGCGCCACTGTACACCATTGTCTTCGGTGAGTTGATATCTCACAACCGACTATTTTATTTACTAATGAAGTTATTGAGTAGTATAGAATAACACTAAGAATATCTAAATTTGTAAAATTATTCCTAGCGATATAATCAAACAAATGCAATTAGAACGAGAAATATAGAAAACTGATGGGAAAAATAAGATTTTTTCTTATAAAAAAAAATGTATTGAACAATAATGATAACCAAACTGATAAGATTATCATTTTAATATTTCATATACAACGTCATTCAATGTTTATAAATCTATAAAATATAGTTGACTGATAAAATTACAGTTATGTAAAGTATAAATGAATCTATATAGCCGAGATGAATACCAACTGAAATTCTAAAGCATCGACAATTTCATTCGATTAAACAGAAATAAGCAACTAGTGACCATCCTGTAAAGAGCTTCATAATACTACGCCTAAATAAGTAGAGTAAGAAATTCTGTTGAATAATAAAAAATCAACACCAATTTTTAAAAATTTTATGACAGTGTCAAATTTCAACGACAAATAAGAAGAATTAAAACGAACTAATGAACTGGGAAAATGTATACTTTAAGTAATTCTCAATATGGTATCGCTTCCGATGAACACTGTAAAATAAAGTTAATTACTTAGTTTCTTACAGTATATTAAAACTTGACATGATGGGCTACTGACGAATGCATTACATTCCAAAAGGTTCATATGGCTTTTGCCAACTTGCGTCACCTATGGCGAAGGCGAGATATCCGTATATCGATTAAAGGACGAGCAGTTCGTCTTGTTCTACTTTACGGCTGCGAAACACGGTTGTTAAGGGTAGAGGACACTCGTGAGTTACTAATATTTGATCACAGATGTCTTAGGAATATAGCCAGCATCTGCTGGGATCACCGGGTAAGTAATAGTGAGGTTAGACCCAGGGTATTAGGAAATGATGGTAAATCAGTTGATGAGATTGTGGATCTTCGACGACTGCAATGGTTGGGCCACGTATTACTCAAGCGCAACCACCGACTACCACGGTGCGCAATGCTGACTAGTGTTGGAGACGGATGGAAGAAAGTTAGAGCTGTATCACTACCAGAAGAATAAACTGTGAGAGCATACAGTTTAAGAACATGAATAATAAATATATTGTTTACCACAAAAGTGAAGCTCACTCATCACAACGAGCAAAGCAAGACGTTCTCGCAGCATTACCGTTGAGACTACTCTAAGTTACTGAGTTATTTGACTTTCAGAGATTCAGTCTGAATGTCATCACCAAACAAAGCTCGAAATTCGATTTAAACATTTATACCAAATAACAATCTCCGTATTTGGTATGTGCTAAACTTACTTTAGATAAGAGATCGCGCAATTTTTCTCTAGTCTGTAGGGAGCGTAGTCCTGGAGTATTTGGACTAGACACATTGATTACTAAATAGTCAGCTACTTCGCCAAACTTCCGAACACCTGCCACATAATCAGCAGTTGGATCTGTACTTGTTTTATTGCAGCCTAAATTGACACCAATTACACCACGGCCTAAAACAGGTTAAATTGAGAAAATGTTATATATATAAACATAATTAGCTACCCTACTAGTTACCACATATACTTGATTAAGTCAAACATTCACGTGAATGTTCATATATTGTGTGCAAGGCACTGGGACCACATGGATAGACAGAACTTTATAAATCAAGCAGGCCATTAAAACAGTTTACAAAATAAGTCAACATATATACATGATTAACATGAAAACTGCAAACTTTAAACAATCATTTAACTTGAATTTATAAACAAATCCAAAAGAGTAGGGGGAGAAAATCAACTGAATGAAAACTTTCTGTGAATGATAAATACAATGACAAAAATATGAAGGAATATTTAAATTTAGTAAAATCAGTATACTTACAATTAGCCTACCTTCCCATGGACGATCTTTGAGTCTTTCATATACAGCATCATGTCCATCACTGTTAAACCCACATCTGAAATGATAACAGAATGGAGAATGAATGAATGCGACCAGTAACACTTAGGAAAATACAATACAGATAATATAACTTGATTCGATTGTCACAACAGGCAAATCATTTAAATGCGTGAAGGTATTTGAGATGGTAAAAATACGCCGATCAGTGGGTTAGTGTTTGACTATGAAGTATTAACTAAAGGGTTAGAAACCCGCCCGATCCATTATGCTTGAGGTAATCACTTAGTAAAATCGATATACACGACAGGTGTATCTCAAAGTCAGTCCATAAACACTTAAACGGTACGTCTTATATTAAATGTAAAAGACTCCAGTATTAACAGAATGCTATATAACGTACCAAATGATCACACAATATGCTTCAACAGCTGAATTGGTGACAGCATGTTTTGAAGGATGCCTTGATGATTACGGATCCATGAAATTCCCACCCTACAAGTGCTCTTCGTGCTTCTCTGGAAAGGATTAGTGCAATTACTTGAGTATACAACAGCACTTCTCCCGAAGCTAATCTCTTCTGTCCAGCTTGCGTTCAATGGGTTTCACTTATTTTGAGAACCACCGAGTTGTATCCCCTCATTTTTGCGGCTATTTGCTTGGTGCTCACAGTTTCCTAGATTGTTCGGACATTCTATGTACTTATAATAATTGTTACTCTGGTTATGAAAAGGACATCGGTCTCATGATTTCCGAAGAATCTCGGCTTTCATCATGAGGCATCATAACTATTATATATGGAGACTCTTCAACCTTTAGGGCAGAGTTTAAGTCGTTTAAATGATTTTTTCTGGTCAACGTTTTCTTAGCAAGGTTATTTTCTACGGGATGGAGTTGGTGACTTTATGCTCAACCCTGCTCTTTTATTCGGGCTTGAGACTGGCAGTAACCCTAGCAGGGTTACAGGCGGAGTCGAAATAGTCGTCTCCCAATCAAAGGGCATCTGTAGTGTCTGACAGTCTGCTCTATTGTACTTTATGGCTGTAAAATATAGTCTATGGAAGTAGAAGACAAATGTTAGCCAAAAGTTTAGGATTGCAGGTGTCTTTGGAACATTTCTGGCGTTTTATGAAACAACCAAGTGGGCAAAGTTGAGGTTAAACATAGAGTAGTTGGCAAGAGATGAGGTTGGAAATCATTGATTGATATGGTTAGGATATATGTTACGTAAGACCGACTATTGCCTACCTCAATAAGCGATGTTTAGTAGTGCAGAAGTAGGTTGAAAGACAACAGAGGGCGGATAAACCAAAACATGGCATCAATCCATGAATTAATTGAGCTTTGGTTTGGATCATGTTGGTAAATGCAGACTACCTGTTTGGGGTCCACATTTCAACTGTAAACTGTGGTTGAAGACTGGTACGGCCGAGGGTGGGGAAAGTTATCTCTCCCTCTCGAAATGCTCTCACATGACTACGCGTATACAGCCACTGCCAGGGAAGTCCTATTCACTCCCTTCTTGTGGCGGGGGTATTTATTTATAATTTAAACACATAATTATTGGCACAAGGAAGCACCAAACTGATATGCGCCACATAAATCAAATGGTTTATGTGAGAGCCGGGATACTGCCAGGGTGCGCAAACCGAAACAGGTCGTTTTCTTAGGAGGCCACACCCCGAGCCCTTGACCTAAAGGTCTAATCCACAAGGCAGTGGAGCTACGTCAGAAGATGCAGTCTCATGGTAGCCGGTGACCAACGATCGGTTCATACTCCACTTGTTCCCTCAGGATGTTGGAGCCCTTGTACACCATTGGTTTGGAATCAGGGTTTTCCAACTTTCTTCAGTGGACCCTCCATATTCACTAACCCGGTTGAAGCGCTGGATAGAAGTAGTGTGACTCATTATACTGGAGTCGGAGTCGTGAATATATTAGCGTAGTGAGTGCCACTTTTCAAACCATATTCCCAAGAATTAGTCTTTTATCTTATCATTGTTGCCACATTATATCGATCTTTTCTGTTATTATTATCTTGCCATGCTAATTTGGTATGGCTATAAGCCAACGCACATCTGTACCAGGTTCTAAGTTGATGATGTCCGTTTGTTTATAAAAGCTTAACTGTATGAAGTATGAGCGGTGAGTTTACACAGGTGTAGGGAATGAGTGAGACAAATAGAATAATGCCAACTGAGCAATAAAACAAAGATCAATACTTACAATTATATTGCTTCAGTTCGTATGTGCATAAGTTATCCATAAATATCATTATTTGCTTAATATAACTTTCCATTTAAAGTTATTCATTAAAACAGACTGAGTAAATCACACTTTAGATATGATTGTTATGGGCTACTGAAAGATTCAAACAGTTACTTTACAAAGTAGAAAGTTATCCTTACCGGTTTATTACCGCTTCTTTCTTGGTCCATCTGAATATACGAGGACGTGTGTTACCTGGCTGAGGATCCGGGGTGACAGTTCCAACTTCAATATGTGAAAATCCTGCATTTAAGAGACCCATAAATGCCTCTCCATTTTTATCAAAACCTGCAGCTAATCCTATGGGATGGTCGAATTCGAGTCCAAAAACTTTACATTTGAGGTGAGGGAATGAGTTTCGAGGTTTATGTGGTATAAAACCATGACTTGCTAAGTAAACTGATAAATTGTGGGCAGTTTCACCATCACGGACTAAGATACGGGCAGTAGGTAGAAACCAATCCTTATAGAAGTGCTCATTTCCAGAATACAAAGCTTCTGCAGTGAACAATCCAAATCCAAGACTTAAAACTTCAAGAGATGTCCTAATTCTACTCATTATTGATAATAAATCTAAAGAGTGAAATAATTTTTAAAGAAATTTATTAGTTGAGTCATTATTAAATAGCGATTGATTCCCTGTGATGTGTAAATCAACTGCCAGTATTTATTTTAACTGAGACAAAAGAAAAATCTTTGCTCAAATGTTATTGGGAGGACTTTTCTGCAAAGACTAAATTCGATTGATATCTAATCTCAAACCCTAACCAACCAATAGTTCTGAAGTCACCAACCTTGTTGAATCAGTCGGCACAAAAATACGTAATTTAGAATAATCACACATGAATGAAGGCAAAGACAATTGAGGCAAACCTCTTCGTATTTGTAACAATAAGGTTACGGGATATCTTGAGATAGTATGCAGTTGATGACACGGAAATGAATGACATTGGGTAAATTGATTAACCGAAGTTTTAGAACAGTGACTGAAGGTAATAGCCCAGAGAATTCCTTATAGTTTCCAATTACAACAAGTACTGAATAGTGGTATTCAATAATGGAAAGGGACTACTGAACAATAAGCTCTTGGACTTAGATTTGTCAAAGAAATTATTTCGCAAAAGATTATAGTTAAATATGATTATGGTGAATGGCCGCCATTTGGAATGACACCTGAATGTCCAGTGTGGAAGTTTACTGTCTTTAAAAATCACGGTTAAAGTATTATTAAAGATAGTGCCGAATTTCCTAATATTCTCGTCTACAAGTCCTCTAGTCAAGGAATGGTCACTATACCATACGGAACAGGCGAAATTTAATTATTTGATCTACTTACACATTTATGGCTCGGGTTATTGAAACTCTAGCAGTCACGTCTAAAAATTGAGGACGGGATAAAATTGTTATGCCATAAAATTTCGAGCCAACTTTAGAATGCAGTGTTGCAGTATTATGGCTAGTTCAAAATGCGCAAAAAAATTTAAAATGACTTTCCTCAGACAGGCTTATACCAGGACATGGTAGCCTTCTTAGTAAGAGGGGTGAGGACATTCCTGAAGATATTTGTCCTGTAAGACACAGGAAGGGAACGAGCAGACAGGCCTAAAATGTTTATCAGATTCGAAGTGAAAATACCCTGTTATGCATATGGTTTTCAAATAGCCTTAATATGGTGACTGGCTTTCTGAAGGACTCGCCTATATGAAGAGAAATACTTATGCGGGGTTGGGTCACAGCTTTTGCAGTAAGTACTGATATCTGAGGAATCGGAGCTTCTAAATGACTCATTAGGTAAGGTGCTTTCCTACCGTACCGTTGGTACCTTAAGGTATCTTAAGGGTTTGCAAACTCAGGAGTTCATGCTGGAACTTAATATGATCGTTTAACAGATAATTTTATATATTGAAGAGAAGTAAAGTCACTATTTCTTTAAAATATTTTTAGCACAAAGTAAGCACATCAGGGACTCACTCAATCCAGCAGTGCAATCCGAAAACGCTACCACTTTGACCTTGACGTAACGCACACTCATAAAACTAACGATTTTTTTCAAATCTGAGTATTGAGAACAAAAAGCCGAAAACTTGTTTTAGTCTATTTCTAGTAGGTTTCTGAGAGTCCTTTATATCAACGTGAGTCAGTTTTAGGACTAGACACCTGTGGCATGTTCATTGGTGAGCCTAATTTGATCTGGTACACCAAAACGCAAACTGTGAATCTGTTCCGTTTTGGGATTCTATGTATCATTGCCTTATCTTAATTTTTTATACATTGTGATATTTTTTCGTGTTTTTGGATATATATATTTTTCCCTCGTACATTCTCGTACTTCATATTTCATCATGACTGAACAGACTTAAGCTTAAAACATTGTCCCCACCTTCGTTCCAACTGATGCCCTTCTGGCCAGACAACATCGAAGCCTAGTTCTATTACTCAGAAGCTGACTTCTCCGAGCACGGCGTGATCGACACACGTGCACAATTCCTCACAGTAGTCAAAGCACTACCGCGCGAATTCAACAGGTACGTAACACCTAGCATGTTTACTAGTAATGTTTCTTAACCCTACGAAGCACAGAAACGATCTATCCTTAAATGCGGAGACCTAACCGGTCGACAGAAGTTAGACCAACTCCTTAATATCATTGACCTGCAACACGGTTCTGCGACAGACATGTTGCAAAGAATGAGAGAGTTTATCGGCCATCGAACCTTCGATGATGGCCTATTCATACAACTTTTCTCATCCAAACTTCCTCAACAGGTGCAAGCCGTGCTGGTCTCGTTTCACAACAACGCCGTAGACGAGCTGGCTGCATCCGCCGACCGCACTTTAGAAATCACCAACTCTTCTAATACCGAGGTTTTTTCAGTCGAAGAAAAACCTCAAACGACCCAGAATGTTATAACAGAGTTATGTCATACACTTACACGTTACCTTAAGTTTCGTAACGACCGTAAACGTTTACGCGCTCCTCGGAGAAGCACTTCACGTAAGCGATCTATCTCTAGACCACGAGAGACGGATAAACACGACTGGTGCTGGTATCATAACCAGTATGGAAAGTCTTCCAGAAATTGCAGAAAACACTTCCTTGAACAGTCTCCAAGGAATCGACCTTCAGCTTCAAGAAAAAGACATTGGTCTTCAGCACGAGTTATCGTCAACAACCCTTAAACTGCGCACTAAACAGATAGGAACAGGTAAGGAAACCTCGCTTTGTGACACATCTACAGGTAGGGATCGCCCAATCGTGCCGAAACATTATCTACGCAACGTCTTCGATACGTTGCACAAACTTTCTCATCCAGGTGTTCGTGCAACCATCAATCTTATAGCAGAACGGTTTTGCTGACCTGGCATGAATAAAGACGTGAGGGAGTGGGCACGCTCCTGTATAATCTGCCAAAACTCTAACGTTATCAGACACAATAAATGTCCCTTAGGCTCATTTAAACTCTCGACGCTCGTCTCGACCATGTTCATCTGCTTTTCGTACGACCTTTGCCAGATTTAAATGGATCTTCTTATCTCTTAACCTGCATAGACCGTTTCACTCGATGGCCAGAAGCAGTATCTATCAAGGACACCCCTGCTGAAACAGTGGCTCGCGCTTACGTCGAACGATGGGTAGCAAACTTCGGCTGCCCTGCAACTATCACTACAGACCGCGGACGTCAGTTCGAATCTGATCTTTTCCGTCGTCTGATCACACTTTTAGGAATCACGTCGGGCTCACCAATAAAGATGCCACAGGTGTTCAGAGTTTAACAACGCTTTAACCAGTAACACCTCTAATATGAAGCGTACCCAACAAGTGAAAATCAAAAGACAGAAGAGAAGAGGTTCGAAGATATAGTTGATATGTTATCAATATATCGAGAATCGTCTGATCTAATCTGGCAAGCGATTGCAGGGGATTTTAGTCAGTATCACAGTTGGCGCGCTTCATGAAAGTTGCGTTGCGAATGAGCAACTGATGGTCAAGGATAAGTCCATTGAAGGTGAGAGCTTCTAGAAACCGCAACTTTATGTCCATTAGGAATATCTAAGGCTTTAAGCATGGTGCACGATGAAGTCATCCGTCCCATATCTCAAGGGGGCTAAAAGAGGGAGCAAGTAAAAGAAAGGACGAGAGGCAGAGTGGCCAATATTCATGAAGGAATGTTTAAGGTATGATTACTCAGTCTAATTTTCTTTTATTAAGGTATTTGTTAAACAAGAGTATTTTAATAGGTTAAAGAAAATAAGTGTAAACAAGGTATGAGTGGACATACAACTGACAAAAGGAGGCGATTCAGAAAGGAGCTGAGAGTATGGGATTATGTGTGGTTATAAAATATAGTTCTAAAAACAGTATTGTGATATACAATTGACTATCTTTCTTTTTTATCGAAGCTACTGGAGCCCTTTTCATCTTTTTTTGTATTATTATTTTTTTTTAGGTATCATAGGGTCTTGAGTAGGCTTCGTATATTATCGAATTGTCTACTCTGCCTTCAATCCCACTTTGTTTAACGCTCAAATAACATCCACGTATATTCCCATTTTGAGTGTGTTGAGAATTATACCAAATATTTTGAAGTCATTACATGTATTTCTCGACCAACTGTTGCCGCCTTCTTTATGATTTATCTTTCAGCTTATCGATACCTGGGGATTGTTCATTTGGTAATCTCCCGCGCGCAATAATCCGACTCTATTTGATATAGAACCAACGTCACCTTGATTCTGGTGGGGGAGTAGTATAGTGGTATTGGTTCTTCATCACATGATTCACGAGGCTAAAAAAATAATCACTAGGAAGGTTGACATTCAATATGTAACACATGGAGTAGGTCGATAATCGTGAACTTAAGAACAGTGAATCAAAATGGCACAGTTCAGTCATGAAGGCGTGGTCACTCTATGTAAAACCTATGACGTTTCGTATTAAATATATTACTCTCTACCCAGTCTAAACATGTTCTTCAGAAGTGTTGAACGTTATATCGTTGATTCTCATAATGGGACGGGTTACTGTGTATAATTATGTGATCTCCGCGTAAGGTTTTATAGATTAGGCTTTTATATCATGATTTCATGAAAGACAAAGGTCTTTCAAAATGGCACAGCATACAGAAAACTCGCTAAGCCTAACTGCCACACTGTTATGTGCATACATTATTGAAGGCAAAAACGTGTAGGCATTTTGTTTCACTATCTAACAATACGACGCAATGGTACTAGTGAAGCAAATTTAAGGTTCAACAACAATCGACTAAAGGACCGAGTTTAATCATCTAGTGTATATCAAATTGGCCCAGCTCGGTGTGCACAAAGTATCAATTTCGGTTGGTAACGTTTCAGTCCAGAAGCTTGTGAAAAGGTCACTATCCGGTTCCAAAATATACATCCAGTATATTCCCAATCGAGCTAAGCACCCTACATAAATCAATACTGACAATATGAACGAGGTGCAAATAAGTGTTCAAAGCACTAGGCTACTTCAAAATTCTGAAAATTATGCTCCTTAGAGTTCAGCCGTTTAAAGGACCATAATAACCAACAACTTCACATAACGACGTGACAGGCATTGGAAGTGTCACAGATGGAGTACAGTGGAAAAAATGTATTTATAAATAAAATTAACTATACTCGACTGATACGTTTCCGGCTGGTAAAGATATTTGACAAAAATCAACTATCATCATAAGGGAAATATCCTTATCAGTTAAACAATAATACTTTAACCAGAGAAAAGGGATAGATAAGTTAAAATTACTACAGTAACAATTAAGTAAGAAGTACGATTGGTTAATAGTTGACAATAACAAACTTTTACAAAACAATCAGGGAACATGATTCCAAATTAACCAAATGGAATGGAGGCAATCAGTTCACAAATTATGAACCACGGTACAGCAGTTCAACATGGAAACCGACACGAAAACGTTAAGTGAGTCGATATCAGGGAGTTAGTTAGGGTTAAGGATTGGTAAGCATCATAGTAATAATAATTGGAAGCAGATTGAAAATGGAAACTAACGCTTGAAAACGCAAAAAACACTAGATGCAGCAATGTAGCAGTCATAATGAAAAACATACGTAGAGAGACATTCTATACATTCCCACAGAAATTTATCATAGCGGATTTTGCAAAGTGAGCTTAGATAAACTAAAATTCCGATTTTGGCAAGGGAGCTCTAAGATCAATGAAAATGAACAAGTACATCTGATAGTCTGGTTTATCAAGATGTCAAGAATAACAAATATCTTAGCTTGAAACATCTACATGACAGACCACTTGATTAGTTGACTGGGCTTTCAGTAATGGAAACATATGGATTCAGTCCTTTATTATTCTCAACACTCCTACACAGCTCCATACCCAAATAAATAATTAACATTTTCTGTACATACTTATCCATATAAACCATTTTTACCATGTTTCTGACAAAATATGATTATTAGTTTATCGGTACGAGTTCGAGATAAAACGACAAAAAATATACTTTTATCTATGCACTTTTATCCTACATGAACTTCTAATCGGTAACTTAATTGTAGAGATATGTAACAGTGTATGTGATCTGCTTCGATGGACGAAATAAGCGCATGATGGAGTCATTTATAATAGTCTGTATAATCATGTACAAAAACGTTCCTTTGATGAATTACTTACTAAAAAATCTATAAAAATCAAGGAGTTAGTCACGAATCAGAAATTGTCAACAATGTATTAACGGTAACTGTGGGCGAGCCATAATAAAAACGAACAAACGACAATAGAAGCACTAGTAATGGAAACGATATGCACAAAGAAAGAACAAGGAACCTGTTGTGGTGTAAACGTACTCGGAGAGATTTTCTCTTATGTTCGCACAGGGACGTGCCCAAGCGGATTCTAGAAAATGTCAGTGACAGTGTTGAATAATGCATTTTAGCTCGTATTTTACCACCACGACCACTAAGCTCATGTTTGATATTCGTCATTAGTGGAAATGCTAGAAGGATTCGTAAGTCAGATGTGGTGGAGGAGCGGAAATT